GAGGACTTTCAACCTACAAAAACATTTAAGTACAATATCAAGTACGTGACCCTCGAAGCGCAGATCAGTATCCATTTTGATCCCTAAATTACGTATTTCAGTAACCGTTTCAAATAATTGCCATAAATTTTTACTTGGGGATCATGGGTTGAGATGTTAGTTACTTGCATTTTACTACCTAGTATCATCCATTTCCATATTACAGGGTTTAAAACTAACGCATTTTTAATCTATCCGTTTATTCGACAGAGAATTTCATTAAGTTTCTGTGTAAGTAGGTTAGTTTAGTATATTCCGCTTTTATGCTAATATATAATTGTAGGTTACAATTATGTTGGTCATTATTGTATATTTGCAACTTACAATGTTGTACTTTATTAATAACATGTAAAGTATACAAAATAAACAAAATAGGACCTAGGATTGATCCGGAACACCTCTCTCGACGATGAAATGAGATGACCTTAAAATTGAGCCATTTATGTTACTTAGTTCACTGAATTGGGAGCAACGAGTAAAGTAACTAGCAAAACATTTAATTGCCGTTATGTTGAAGCAAAAATAGGATATTTTAGAAAGAAGAAGTCAATTATTTATTATGTCGAAAGCACGCGAATAATCTAAAAGGGTGAGTATTAGTAATAGTAATAGTACCCTGTCCTACATCACTCGATGTTAAAATATCATCCACAACAGCAATCAATGCTATACTGTTAACGAAAACCCGATTGCACCGCAGGGAGTATGCTATTCGTTTCAAGGTAAGACGTATGCTGAGCGCAAATTATTTTTTCCCGTACCTTTGATAAAAAAGGTAATATACTTATCGGCCTCGAATCCTTGGTATCGATAGCATCAAGCTTTTTAGGTATTGGGCGTACTATTGCAGTTTTCCAGGCACGCGGAATCGTATTAGTTTCAATGGATTTGTTAATTATCCCTGTGATAACCCCAAGTGTACGTAAAAGAGTCAGTTGTATCATATGTGATGTAATTTTGTCTACTCCCATAGCGTTCGTCTTTATTAACGTGATACATTTGACAATTAAATCTTAATCCACCGTTTTAAGACTAAATGTTGAACCACAAAGTCGATTAAATTCATAAAACGTTAGATCGGACAAGGATACTTTATTTTGCCCTGGAACATCAAGAAAGTGCTGATATAAATGTTTTTGAATTAAAGTGCAGCGGCAACCCATTTTTATATTTTGAGCTGAAGAGAACAACAACAAAAGAGTAGGGACACAAAGTTTTACATATTTGAATGGTGTGCCTACATAAATGAGCAAGGATCGGAATAGGTGAATTTTGCAGGATTTTGAAACATAATCTCTGTAATATTGATACGTCATATAATTAATTTAGTGCGCTGAGTATGCAATAAAACTAAAATAATTTTTGGGTTTTGATTCTATTTTTATGTTTCAATTATGTCCAGACTCGTATACAGCAGGACAACAGCTGTTAGCTGAAGAATCAAAAAACAAATTTCATTTCAGTAATAAAATTTTATTTTAATTAACAGAAACCTTTTTCATCTTATTTCGGGTCCGTATTCAAGTCCAATCTTCTACCAAATATCCCCTCATCAACATTGGACATAAATACGGACTCAATACTTACCTACTAAAATTAATAAAAAAATATTAAGTGGAAACCTCGGTTTCTACCTAATATCTTTTATCAATATCGATAAGAAGCTAAGCTAGCTTGTTTAAGCACTATTTAGCTCGTTACGTTGGTACTCATGTTGTTTGACATCTTCGTGGTATTTTTGTAGTATGGTTGGTATTGGAGTGCCGCGTAAACTGATATTTTTGGCTAAGAAAGTTCCGTCTCCTAAACGTACTGATTACATTCTCTTTGGTATGACGTCCGGGAGAGTGAGAGAGATAGCATATCTGAAAACTAGCCTAACAGAAATTCTTGTTTTCCCGACGTTGCTAGCTCTCGTACAGATATATACGACTAATATATATTATATGGAACTGTGTTTGACGCTTCATCAGTGGTATGTCAATTCCATTACCATTCAGCAAAAAGGAAGTTTCAATAAATGTTATAACGCGATCAAAATGCACTGCATATGATAATTACCTCTCAATTTGAGTTGTTAAGGTTAATTTTCTTTGAAATTATTACATTGTACGCTATCGTTTGTAATCTAATCTATAATTATATGTAATTATTATGACTTATGAGTCACAGATGGCTTAAGAATATGTGCATTTTGAATATAAATTTGGGAAATGATGAAAGTTGTATCTTATTGCTATGGTTTGATTGTTTTATTCACTTAGTAATAGATTTATGATCAGTGCGTATTAAACGTTGTCATTATATTCTGTGCTGCGCGAAATGCCTCAAATGTTTTTGTATTTTTCTGAATATAAAATTGTAATTAGTGTAAAATTAATCAAAGAAGAAGAAGAAGAAATAGTGACTTTTGTGTAAATATTATTATATTCTAAAAACGCTAAATCTTGAAAACAGATCTAGTACCGGAAGCGCTGAAATGACAACCCTGTCCAATCTTTCACCTTACGTAAAACAGCAATAACAGACAACAGTTAACAGTTATTGAGAAACAAAACAGTTTATTTCATTATTGAAATGTAGCCATTATGGCCATCTAAATATAAGTTAACAACTTGCCCCGTAATGTTTGCAATATTTGCATCGTGATGTGTTAACGTTCAAAAATAAATTAAGAATCAATCTTAACTGATTAAATAACGCTCTTATAATGAAAGAGAGGGATATAGAGAGAAAACAATATACTTACAAACACGTGCCTGGGCGAATCTATTGGTTTCAGTGAATCCAACTTAGGAGATTTCTTCCTATATTTAGGAAGAAAAAATTTACACAGGTAGTTTCTAGAGGGTAAATTTGTTTGGGAATATTTTTAGGGAAAAAAGTTATTTACATTTTTGAGAAACTACACCTAATATTTTTTTTATTTATAATAGTAAATATGAGTTTTATACTTTATTGTTCAAAATATTATTGTTATTGTAGATTGTGTCTTATTCTAATGAGAATATGCAAAGTCTTTTTTGTAGGAAAACTTCTTTAGGCGCGACTAAGGGGTAACTAAATGCTTTTGGACGATGACAATGCAAAGAAAACGCATTACGGTGCGGTGATGACGCATTTATACAGCATCCAATTTTTATTTTTTAGCAGACTAATAATTTAATTTATTATAACTGTAGTTATTAATAAGAAATTAATAATATAATAATAATTTTATGTATAAAAAAACTAGTTGACTCTTTCAAGTTACCGTATCAGGTTCGGGTTTTGAACAATTTTGGAATTGATTTAGGAGTATTGTTGTTTAAAGTTGGTAACACCTATTGGTTTGCTGTTGACATTTGACTTATTATGTAGATGTACTAATTGAATTGATAGAAGTAGAACTTGAAAGTTGAAGAATGACAATGTTTATTATCAGAAGCAGAACGCTAGTAACCAGTACTAGTATTTTACTACATTTTGCTGGCGACGATCTTAAATTAAGATTCAAAACAATCAGAATTGTTGGTCGCCAAAAGTTCTAGCATGATTTAAAATAAATTTAATATAACTTCAAAAGATAACTTTAATATTAAAATATTAGCTTTTAATAAATGAAAAGGTAAGTTATTTTATATTTGTAATACATGCATAATAATATAAAATATACTATCATAAAATAATTTGATGGTAAAATTTCTGTTCAGTAATTACATGAAATGGGGAAAATTTTGAAACGAGTTGTCGGAGGGGTGATGTGGTAAGGCACCCCCCACTTGCCCCCCCCCCCCCCGCCGGAGACACATAGTTTTTTTATTATACAATTTGTAATTTTATTTATTTAATAGAATCTAATAAGAATGTCACAGGGGTGGGTCCCCCTCCTGCCTGTTGTCCTTAACCAGAATTAACAACAAAAGTGCTAATGTGTGGTTATAAAAAAACTACGAAAAATAACCACGAACTCTAACCTAATCTGTCCGAATCAGATTGCTCTGTGTCGCATCAGCGACTCATTAAATTAAAAAAAATATGACTGTACAAACAGTACGAGTATTAAGTCGCCCGCTTTCTACATGTTTATGTTGGCATTACTGTGTATTCAATTTTATTAATTTAAATTTTTTTTATTATTCGCATCTTTGAAAACACTGAAATTTATCAAAATTATGTTCCATTTCACGTTCCGTAAGATTTTTCAATTTTAAAAAATAGCTAATTAAGTTTCTTACGCGTCTACGGCAGAAAAAAATGCGTTAGAGTGCTTGGTACGACCTTGGTACCTCCTTACCCCCCCCCAAACTTACAGTGTACTTAACTTCGGCCGACTCGATCCAAAACCCAACCCCATGTAATTCAATATTGTCTCTTAATTTACTAAAATATACCTATTATTTATGACAATGTGTTTAATGTGAATTAATGTAACTATTTAAAAGGTTGTTTAAAATCATAAGTTTGCTATTTGCTGTATTTTAATTTTTTATTTAATATTCTAGTATAATATAAGAGTAAAGTTGCCACCGTTTTTTGTTGAAATTATAGTATTTTTTTTAGTGACAACAATATAGTACTTGGAAATTAAGGGAAAAAATAGTAATTTAAATGCAAACTAATTAGTTTATTTCATTCATTTAGATTATTCATATTAGTTTAATATGGCAGACTAATATGCATAACTCTTTGGTGCAGTTGCGAAGCTATTGGCCTTGGCGCCAGGGGTCGTGGGTTCGATTCTTGCACGGGACAAGTATTTGTGTGACCCACAGATAATTGTTCCGGATCCAGATGTTTGTTCCCAAGGAAGGTCGTAAAAAACCTGGCTAAACCACTTACAACATAATTGATATTTTGTACCGACCCCACCTAGGTGGGATAAGGGCAGGATGATGATAATGATAGTTAAACTAACATAACTTTTCAAAATTTATGAAATGAAATTTACAGGAAAATCATACACTAGAACACATTGAAATATGGAACAAAATTTACAACAAACAGGTGTGTTCGTATTTGTAATAATTATGTTTTTGTTGATTATTGTTTTAATTTGAGTTCATTAACATTTTTTCTCTTATGTTAATAGGTGTTCGTGTGTACACATTTGTTGGTAAATAACTTTAAAATCTTGAGCATACATTCTAACAATTTGATTAAATTGAAAATAGTACACTAATATTACTGTTAAGAAAGTTTCCATATTATCATTATGTTCAGTTGTTTTAGCCTTATTGTAACATGAAATTAACATTGACTAAACTCAAAACCTTGAATAATTTGGAGATAAAAATGTTAGCACAAGCTGTGTTTAGTTACCATTGTTTGTTTTTCTTATATGTTCTGTTTATTGTACAACCTTGTCTTATTTGTTATTGATTTCCAGAGGTGAAATATCACATATACTGTTCTCACCTAATAGAATATTTTTTTACGGAAATATAGGGGCTAGTGAGCAGTAGGCTCACCTGATAGTAAGTGATCAACGCCGCCTATGTATACCTGGAACACCAGAGGGCTTACTAATGCGTCACCGACCTTTTAGGAAAAGTATGCTCTCTTCTTGAAGGTTCCCAGGTGGTAAAGGTTCGGAAAGACCGCCAGCGGCAACTGCTTCCACAGAGTTGGTTGACTGAGGCACAAAATCCCTTAAAAATCCGCTATTGTGGAACGCTGGACATCGAGGGGGTGTGGATAAAATTGTTGGTTTTGGCGCGATGTTTGATGGTGAAATTCAGCCGCTGGGATCAATCCAAACAATTCCTCGGAACATTCCCCGTGATGAATGCGGAAGAAGATGTAGAGGATGATGTAACATCTCTACGCAGAGCCAAAGTATCAAGCCGATTCGAAAGACTATGATCGTCGATAGCTCTATTGAATGCGGTAATTCAGTTGAAGGTGGTCAAAACGAAGAGGCTGGTAATAAGAAGCTCCCGCCCAGAGATGAGAACAGTACTCCATGTGGAACCGAATTTGTGCCTTATAAAGGTTTAGCCGTTGAGCCGACGTGAAGTACTGTCTCGCTTTGCCGTGCACACCAAGCTGCTTTCAGGCCAAATTAACCGGGGAACTGGACATTGCTCGAGATTTCGACGTCAAGAATTACGATACTAGCTGTGGCAGACAGGGTAGTGTTCTCAAAATGAGGAGTTACGACAAATGGGAGTTTTTGTTAACGCGCAAACTTGTGTTTTATTGGGACTGGAAGATTTTTTTATGTGAGAAAGTGGCAACGAGCTGGCGGTTCACACCTGATTTTAAGTGCTAACCGCCGCCCATGAACATTTGCAACGCCGTAGGGTTGCAGAAGGGTTGCTACTTTTCAACACAGTGAGCAGTTTGAGACTTTACTTAACAAAGTCTCGACTTCAGACATAAACTTGTTCCGGTTCTCGTTCTCCGAAAAATATTAGCACGGCCAGATTACGAGGCATCCACAGTGCTATTATCTGCATAACAATGAACGTTGCTGATTTGCAACATGTCATTGATATGCAGAAGAAACAAAGTAGGAGACGATATGCAACACAATCCGCTAGTCGTAGTTGTCGTCACCAACCGACCCCCACCGCTAGGTACGTTCCGCCGCAGTTGGCGTAGAACGCGACACGTTCCCTGACGATGAGACGACTATCGCCATCGACAGGATCAAACAGTTATATAAACACAACAGAACACAACACACATGTACTAGGTTTAGCCACGTACCTGGCAGGTTTTACCCAGTTAATAATAGAAGCGTTGCTGGAGATTCCGCCACTTCTTCTCCCAGCGCCAACCCTTTCCGAAGTGGTAATAATGATAGATCTAGAAATTCTTCCTGTCAGCCAAAAAAGGTCCAGCCCTCACGGGCATCCGGGTTATTGAGTGACAGCCCAAGCCGAGGTCCACTCTCGGGGGCCCTTGAGCCTAGTCTCTCCAAGGAGTGTCCCGCCAAAGCGCCCGAAGAGCTTGGTGGTTTCCCAAATCGGTGATGGTAATAATAGCGTGAAGGCCTGAGCCAGGCACCCTCCCCGTTAGTCACCATAACGCGTAACCGAGGTTTAGACTAGGCACCCCGAATGCTGGGCCACCACAGTCTAGTGTATCTCTAAAGGCCTCTTAGGCCAACAGTGGTATATCCTGCAAAAAAAACGGGGTACGCAACCTTGTGGAACACAAGTATCGACAAATTTAGGATCAGAGCATGTACTGTTTGCTTATAAATAGTTACTATATGGTACTCAAACTGTTGTTTTTTAAGTTCTGTAGCATCGTAATCAGCATTTTTCTTACAATACTTTGCTTCTTGGGTTGCTCTTACTCACACAAAATTTGATTCCATTATGGATTCGAAACGAATATTTGTGCCCACTGGTGCTAATATCCAGTTATCAATAATTGACTGAGAAATACTTTTTTTACATGATATTTATTTTTATAGTGCTATTCTCTGCACTAAAGGAAATTAAAAATTTGTAAAAAAAATGGACGAAAAGTTTTTTGCCGGTGCAAGGATTTGAACCAGCGTCCTCCGGGATACGCGCCTGACGCTCTAGCCACTGAGCTAAAGGACTTACCCTCACACCGACGAAAATCTCAACGTGTGAATGAATACAAGTATATTATTATTTGAACTGAGAATATCTTTAATTGATAAATACTTATTTGCATTATGAATTATATTTATTATTTTACCATTTGGTGCCTGATCACGGTACCTTGCTAAAATTTCGCACGGGTCAACTGGTACAGCTAATTTGTAACTCAATGAACATGTTGAGTTGGGAACTATGTTCTAAAAATTCCGGATTAAAACCCTCTGATCGAAAATTTAAGTGTTTAGAGTAACATTAATTTAACATTACCAATCAATTTGTGGCTATAGATGGTAATAAGTCTATACAGCGTTTAAAATGAAACTGTGGAAACTTACTTGACTGGGACTTAGGACAGAACGTAATTAATTAAGGGTATTATAATAATTGCTTTTCGGTAATGCACCATGAAAATTGAAGATTTCTAACATTTAAAATTATTTTACAGATGAAGCTGAACAGCCAAGTACAAAGTAAGTTGGTGTAATTATGATTGCGATTTTTTTTTTTAAATGCAATAATTTATTTTTTCAATATAAGAACCTTATGTGGTTACCGTTATTAATTAATTATTATTTACAAAGGAAAATCTAATTCCTCCATTTTCTTTTTTAAATTGCTCTAAACCGTAACAACACAATGGGTGCTCAATGAGGGCTCGGATTGAAATATATCACAAACAAAAAATTATTGAGTTAAATGAACTGTACGACAAGATCGTCACCGCTGTGGGAATCGAACCCAAAATCTTAACGCCTTCTTTCTATATTGTTATTTAGCATTTGAAGGAATGCTTGGCGCATCTATTGTTATATCCTTTCCAGCATACAAACAATTTCGAATATCGTTTTACAACGATAATTCGAACGAAAGATGTCGCCATTGCTTTTTATAAATTTTTAAAGAAAAAATTTAAACTTTTAGGTCATGTTTTTTTAACACTACGTTATTTAGTCCCAAACATAGGGAAGCTTACACTATGGGTGGGTACCTACTAGGTAAATGTAAATTATTTTTAAATAGGTAAAAATATTTAATATATTTTCTTTCTGTAAATAAATACATATTAAAGATATATAAAGACTCGGACACAAGAAAAACTATGTTCATACTCGGACACAAATTTTTCGAGCAGTGAGAATCAATCCACTTTCGCAAGATGATTTGTACACACATAGTGTATTAAAATTTTATTAAGTGGCTGTTAGCATAGCACAGTTTTTACGTAAAACATATTAGTCCCTAACATACCAGCATATATAAGAATTAAATACATTGGCTATAACCCCGCTTAAGGTTGGAAATATAATTTATCATAATAAATGAGTTTTATGTAGTTAGAAATCCTTATTATAGATAAATGCAGCGTTGGATATTCATCATCATCATCGACATTCCAATCTGTTCGAGTCCACTGCTGAACGTAGGCCTCCACAGACTGCTTCGAACTACGATCCTGAACCACCTGAATCCATCGACTTCCCGCAAATTTGCCCAGGTTTTCACGTCATCTAGTGGAGGGGTCGTCTTACACCACGACCTTCAAAACGAGGCTACCACTCAAGAACCTTCCTTCCCCAAGGGTTATCGGTTCTTCGAGCTACGTGGTTGGCCCATTGCCACTTAACCTACCTAATCATTTGAGCTACGTAGATAAACAATTTACGTTTTAGAAGCTGTGGTACCTGGTGGCAGGAGATCCGTGGCCTGATCTAGTCTCAGTCGATATTTTATCGTAAAAAAAAAAGCTACGGACAGTGGTGCCACAATTGCTCCCAGTGTGCAGCAGAGCTTGATACTACTTTACACATTTTATCGTGTTAAATTTAATTTATAATCTTAAGCCTTCGTGTCGCATGCTTATTTTGATGTATCCATAGTGTGAAGGTCTTCGCGATAAATTATGTAAAGTTATCAACTGTGCTTATCAAGTAGTTTACCATGTCTTGTATGCGGGGCGTATTTACAAACAAAATTTTCCTTTATTGCTATTTCCGTTAAAAAATTACTGTTGCTTATATTAGATAACGGATAAAAAGCTACGATGACGTCATCTGCAGGTGGTGGCACAAATTTTGCTTACGCTGCCATGAAAGAGACTCAACACCGTCTTGGCAACCGTCGTGGTGGGCGAGGACGTTTCCTTTTCCATTGTTCCCTACATATAGACAATCAGCTCAGCGACTATGCATATTAATGTTTTGTGAGTACATACACCTGTTTTGTGTTACAAAGTATGCTGGCATACGAGGAAGTACCGCAGAAGACCGGCCTTCGCTAGGAATCCGATTCTTGCTAGGAATTTCACTACATTCTCGCCTAGTTATCGCAAACCGCCTAATTAGTTTCGCTTTAATAGTCTTCATGACGCAATAACAGTATTATGTATTTCTAAAGATCACAAATATAATAGCTTATAGTTTTTATTACAGTTTACACTTTTTTTCAGTCTTTCTCATCTGGGGTATAGCATACGTGGAACTTGGGGATGCCGTTGCAGCAAACGGGGAGCTGCTTAGTATGACGATTCTTGTCATTTCCGCGTACCTTATTGGCTGGTTGTGGTTGAAAATCACCACGCTTCCGGCGCTCATTGCGATGCTGGTCACGGGAATAGCGTTTCAGAACCTCAACTTAGTACATATGACTAATGAGTACAGGAAACTGAATCAAGATCTTAGGTCAGAGTTAACCAAATTTATTCAATTTCATTTTATTATTTTGCCCAGTGCCTATATTAGATATTTTGTGTATTGTTTTATTATGTAAGCGGTAGTGTTTAAAGAATATCGATTGTTTATTTTAATTTACCGATTTAACTAACCAATTTCAATCGACAACAAAGCGATAAATTTAATATCACATATTATGTGAGAAATAAGGTTGTTTTCATTTCAGGAAAGTAGCTTTAGTAATTATACTTATGAGAGCGGGTTTGGGCCTGAACGCCAACATATTAAAGAAGCATTACGTGGCAGTACTACAATTGGGGTTGATACCCTGGTTAGTTGAGAACTTCGCTATAGCCATTCTGTCCCATTATCTTCTCGGCTTACCATGGATGTGGAGTAAGTGACATTTTTATATTATGCTCTTTTATTGACGATTTTAAATTCTTAAATTGTTTTACGATTTAATTAGAGTCCAGTAATATCTAACCGATAGAAATTATCTTGGATGCACGGATCCACATGGGAAAAAAAATCAGGTGTTCAATCGAGTCTATAAATAATACGATTGTTAAAAAACGACCAGCACGACACAGTGGTCCTTCCTCAGCACTGCAAATATTAAGTGAAAAAATGTGTATAGCTTATCTACCTCGATCCTACCTGTAAAATTATTCAAATGATCCTATTCACGGATATAATAGATCGGTAATCACTGCTTCATTACATTTTCTTTACAGGCTTCCTCCTAGGCTCGATGATAGCATCCGTTTCACCGGCGGTTGTTGTGCCCTGTCTATTCAGACTGCGCGATGCGGGCTACGGAGTGGCCAAAGGCATTCCCACACTACTGCTCGCAGCTGCGGCGATTGACGACTCGATCAGTGTGGCCGTGTTCGCCATAATTTTGAACGCCCTGTTCTCTACAGGCTCTGCCACTTACAACATTATTGTGGTGTGCACTTTATTACACCTACACTCTATTATTCTACTATAAATTTGCTTTCACTTAAACGTGCTAAGCTCGAGCGCCTACTTACTGCGTTGAGCTTTGCGTTTAACCCTCATTGAAATTGCTTACAAACTACGGTGTCAATACAGTATCTCATTTGGTCCCTCATTTTTAAATAGACATCAGAACGATTATTTCAAAATTAAATTTACCAAAACATTCTTCGACACCTAAAACGCTTAAAACGCAATGCTATCAGCAAAAGTCTACACGACCGTGACTGAGGAATTCGCACCTGCAGGGCAAAATTAGAAATGGTGAAAGGCATGAGCCTTGAGGGACGCCTTTTCTTGATAGCTTCTCACTACGTAAGGCTTTTATGGCAATTGGAGATTAGGCCTCAGATAATGTTAACAAACGTGTTTCGAACCGTTTATGAATGCAAAAAATACTAAACCAACTCTAGAGAAACAGGGTTTTATGTTTTCATTCAGGGTTTTCAAAGGAACTATTAACCAGTTACTTTGGGGTTCAATTATGGCCAAAGGCTGGATTTTAAGTTATATTATAAATTTTCTACATATTTTAATTATATTATAAATCCCTACATATGTGCCCTAGTATAAATTCCTACTTACCTTTATAAGGCAGTTAAAAGAGTTTACTTATATACATATTTTTATACAAACACATCCGTGTATAAGAAAAAGTTTTTCTAATTTCGTGCTACGAATGATTCATCATCAGCACGGAAACAGTAAATCGAAAGTAATGTTTTTTGTTGTTGTTAAACGTAATAAATGTTAAGACTGTATATTAATACTCATATTTCAGGGACCTCTATCAATCATAGCTGGCATTGGATTTGGAGCTCTGTGGGGAACTATAGCGTCAATTATTCCAGAAAAGGGAGATACATATGTAGTGCCCTTGAGATTCCTATTTTTATTCTTTGGAGGCTTATTTGCGCTTTTTATTTCTAGTTTAATTGGCTGGAGTGGTGCAGGTTTGTAATAATTTACTTTATTTTGTGATAAGGTTTTTTTTTTCAAAGCTTGTTACAGATTTGTTTTCCAAATAGGACCTCTAGCGATCGTGTCTTCAGGGTTCACAGCTGCATACTTTTGGGAGAAACAAGGCTGGGTCGTTAACAAAAACCCTGTCAGTAATATCTTCAGAATTTTGTGGATATTCTTTGAGCCGATACTATTCGCGTTTACGGGTGCCCAAATTACGGTAAATATTAAATTACTGAACACTGCCGAATTTTATATCGCTGTCCGAAAGAATTATAGTTAGAAGATATTTCTAAGTAAACTAACAGGCTATACATGTCCCACTGCTGGGCAAAGGCCTCCTATATACAGAGGGTATCAGGGCATAGTCCACCACGCGGCCCCACTGCGGATTGGCGGACTTCAGATATTTTCGAAATACATTTTTTTTGTTATTATTTCGAAAATATGCAGGTTTCCTCACGATGTTTTCCTTCACCGCGGAGCACTTGATAATTCAGCACTTAAGGTTAAAAACTTCATTGGTGCCGGCACCGGGGAACGAACTCAGGTTGCTCGAGTATATTATTGAATTAAAGGCGAGCGCCCGGACACTGAGCTATCACGGCTCGTGATAATATTTCTAAGTGATCATAGAATTCTATTACGAGTAGGTGTTTCCCAGACGTCTTCAATGGAATCTTTCCTGTCCTCAGATTATGTGAATGTCAACAGAAATATTTGCGGATAACACTTTTTATTATTTAAAGCGAAGCAACGCAGTCGATCGGAAATCGAACACTAGATATTGTTTCAGACTGTTTCATTAAAATACTTTAGTCTTATATCCGGGTAAAACGTAATATGTACCTACACTATACAAAAAAAATCCTGCACTATAAGAATGCGAAGATTTTTAGATAATTGTTGATTTCAAGTAGCAAGATAACAGATCAGATAACTAGTTCTGAAATAGCAAAATTGGTTTATTAATCAAGCTTCCGAAGCATCACGTCATATTGCCTTATGATTTGGGGATGCGCAGACTTAGACGCGATATTTATTTAAAAATAAGGGGGGAATATGAGCAGACTTAAACCTTATGAAAATGAACCAATGCATATGAATCCGCAGAAATGTCTGAACTGTTTTTGCCTGTAGTTTTAATGTTACATTAATTGATGCAGATTAGCGCGTTGGATCCTGACATTATAAAAATGGGCGCGATATGTTTGATAGCATGTTTGTTAATACGCATGGTAGCCACATTCTTGGTGAGCTTCGGATGTGGACTGAACAATAAAGAGAAACTCTTTATTGGTGTCACGTGGTTGGCTAAGGCTACGGTACAGGTATGAACACAAGTTCTTTGCATTTTTCAACCGACTAAAAAAAAGGTGGTGGTTCTCAAAACGAGAAAAAAGTACTCGGCACCCCGTCATTTATATAAAGAGATTTTAAAAAATATTTTTGCATTTGGTTCAAATTATCTTCCATGTCGTTCCATCATAATTTCATTTATACGTGACTCTGGAAATACACCAGTTATAGTAAAAATGTAAAGTGAGTGAAATATTTGGAGTCGGTTCTGTTTTTGGTCAATAAACAATTCTATTTTGGTCAAAGATTTAAAAAAGTTTTACAATTAATAAAGCGGTACAATTTCCGTTCCAGGCGGCTTTAGGGCCAGCCGCATTAGACCTAGTTAATAATGGGCAAACCACTGGCTTGCCACCACTCGACGAAGAAAAATTCGCCAAAACTATTCTGGCCATGAGTGTACTTAGTGTGGTGCTGTCAGCACCGTTAGGCGCAATACTTATTGTAATCACGGGACCAAGACTATTGAGTCGGACACGTAAGTAATTTTGAATTGGTATACTTCATTTACTGCATCCAATGATATAATATTATACTAGCTATACCAGCTGACCGGACAGACGTTGTCCTGTACACACGTCTTAAGTTTGAAAATTTCAAACTTTTTTGGATGTCTTTTGAATTAAAACAATCCTCTAATCCACCTCACCCCACACAAAAATTTCATTTAAATCGGTCCAGCCGTTTAGGAGGAGTTTAGTGACATATACGCGTACATAAGAATTATATATAGAATTATATATACGCTTACAAAACCACAGGTCAAAAGTGTTCCAAACACAGTGAAACAAAAACACATTCACTCGTTTATTTTATCATGACTTTCCCACACATCTTTAATGGTGTTAAAAGGATAGCGTAATAGAACGGAATGTGTTTGTCACTTCAGCGTAAATGTGCAACAAATCTCACTCAGGAAACCAATCACGACACGCTTGGTATAAACTAACAAGTTAGCGGAAAGGGAAGGTATAATGTTTTCATTTAAAAAAAATTATGCTGTTCATATGGGTAAGAAATAAAATGCTATGAAAAAGTACAAAATATTTATTTTAGAATTAAAACCAATTAAGTACAAACCTTCAAAGAAATTTAATTTATTCCTTTTTTGTCTCTTAGAATTTTTTTATTTCGAGATTGAAACATAATATAAAATACATATTTTCCAAAGGTTTAAATTGTTAGTTACTACTATCACAGGAACTGCAGTCTTTTTTGTAGTGTTCGTCCTTTCTTCAAAGTATATTTGTCAGTAGCCTTGAAGTGATTACTACAAATTTTACTGCTTTTAGAAAGCAAGGCAATTTCTTTTCTTTTGATTTCGTACAATTGCAATTCACTCATTAAGGCTAACCTCATTAGTTTGAGACCTTAAAAGTACTTAATAAGTAATATATTTCCTCCATATTCGAGAAAAAAAGGTGTTTAAAATCCACACTAAATAATAAAATTCTTTATCCATATTATAAAACCCACAATTGCACAAAATAAATCAAACTAAAGCCATTTCTATATTTCCACACATAAAATAAATAAGTAACAACTTCAATTTTTATGAGTATGTAACGTTTATATAAGCATCTTTTCAATTATTGTATATCACATACTAATAAATAAATAAAACAGGTACATAAACTTAATGCAATAAGCAACAAAACGAAATATGGACAAACTATGTTCATAGTCCGTAGTGCCTCCGTCTTTCTCTTACAAAAAAATTCAACAAATACGAATCATTTGTATGATTTAACTCATACAATATTTTTGTTACAGCTGCTTCTAAAACTCCGAATGAAGTCGAACCTAACACAACATCGATTGCACTGTGACTTCATTCAATATGGCAAACACATTTTTAAGATCAAAAAACTTTTGGTAAAAAAAGCACCTAGATGACATGCCCATATGTAGAAGAAAGAAAAATGTAAATAATCTCGCACTCTGTAAATTCACACGTGATCAATTTTATATACACTCTATCTCAAACATGTCATTATTCAATCAGTCGTGTAAATGTTAAATATTTATGAAATTTTGTGTTCTTAAATTGTTATAAGTACTTAAGCTATAAAACTATCACTGATGTTGAACCAAACACGTGAATATCAATATTATTCCAAACAATACAGTACACTTTAATGTTTTTGTTATAGGGTTTGTGACATAATTAATTGAGCTACAATTTAAAATCTTTTGCTTCCGTCCTCCTACCATACTTAGAGGCTTCATCTAACTCTGTGCCAATGCCAAATTGTAATTATGTTAAAAAAAATAGTTCAGAGAGTTTTATTATACTAAATACAAATGTTATTTTTATATAAATATTTTACTATAAATGTTGTGATACTTAAGATATACCAATAAGTAATATACTTCGTCTACGAAACACAAAAATAAGTACTTAAGTTTTATTTCTAATATAACTTGTTTACGAAACAGATTTTGCTTAAGAAAAGTACATGTTACTTTCTCGACTACTAGAAATGTTTCGAAAATAGTTTACTATTTATTCAATATATATATTACATGTTTTATCCAGATAATCAATTTCATTTTTATACCAGCTTTCCGCCCGCTTGTACTACATTTTATGTCGTGCTTAAAATATCAGCCCGCCTTTCCTAGGTTCCTGTTTAGCAGATCCAGGGGCAAACCTAAGGAAGTTGGTTTCAAGGTCATTTTGACAGTACAAAAAAAATTGTATATAATTATCATGTTTTCGCAAAGTTATATCATTTTAATCTACCCAATGCTGGTGAGTCGAGAAAGACCCTCCACGCAATGGCGGAAATATCCTTGGCGCATTTCATGCGTGAGATGATGCATGGTAAATGATGATTGATACGGATCTATAGTACATCCAATTCCGTTATTGCTATTTTATTGCACAAATCTTCAATGTGGTTCTTTAAGTTGATATAACTTTTTTTTATTTATGAACCGATTTAAATAAAACTATCACTAAATGTTAAGTTAAGCTTACTACAATGTATTAGTGAAAGTTGCACCCAAATTGATTAAACCGTTTTTGAGGTTAGCCCACAAACGCGCAAATAAACAGACAAGTTTTCACTAAATCAATGTTTTGGGTTCATCGTATTGATTAAAGGCCCCCAATAATATTTTTTCTCAAATATCTTCCATGTACAGACAATGATCAATTACATTTTTCTTATAGTATATATTATTCAAACCCTAAATACTTTTTTTCTTTACTTCATGGACTAATGCCAAAAGTTGACTTCTACGATGATCTGCATTTCAGAAACCGGACGTGATCAACGTAGAAATTAATTAATCTGTTATCAAATGTGAAATCACATTGAACAAGCAATTTGACAACTGATTAGTTAATTTCTACTTAGGTTGATCAGTCTCAGAAACCGGGCGTTAGAGCGCTTCAGACAAGCTTTTAGTTTATGGTCAAAGAACATCACAATTACATAAAAAAACCCGACTGGAACTGACGCCCGCTTTCATTCTGATCATTAAAAAGATCATTCTGATCAATTCAGAGAGTTCAACAATCCTTTTGGCAACTCAATTAAAGATGTCCTTCATAAAATTAAACAAACATTTCAACTCAACTCTGTGACGTTTTTTTCAACGTAAGTTTTTTTCAACGTTAAGGTTTTCAATTCGTTATGCTTATGTTCCGTTGACTTAACGTATCGTTGACTGCGTTTTTAAACGAATTGATTCAACGACATAATTTCCGAAACGACGTTAAAGAATTCAACTAGCATTTGAAAAGTCATTTGGCAGCTGATCGTTACATTCTACGATGATCAATGTTTCAGAAACCGGGCGTGAGCATTGTAACATCGACTCGATACTGTGTGATCACTATAATAAACTTTTCTTTGGCGTATATATTTTGGGAGCCGGCAGGAGGGAATAATTAAGATGCAGTACAAAGAACAAGCCGTGTTGAGAAAAATATAATCTTTTATTGTCACTCGTTGCTATAGAAATTTGTCAATAATAGGGTAATGCTAGACCGATGAGAGTAAGGGTGTAAAAGATAAGAGCGGTACTACACAGTAGCAAATGAGTCGCCACATCACCCCCCTACGGAGAAAAATAAGTACACATTGAAGGCAAAACAAGTATAAAATGTAACAATCAAATAATTATACTGTTATTATAAAAGTACAAGCAACATTATTTAGGATAATTTTTAACTAATGGAATTTTAACACGTGAGTAGCATCAGGTAAGTCCTTGAAAACGAAAGTTTTAGAATTCGTGTGACGTGATGCTGGAACGGGGCGAAGTTCTGCCATCCGTTTTCGCAACTGCAACAAAATCATCGTCCACGGTCTGAGGGGAATTGCTAGCCACCAGGAACTCGCCTGGCAGGCGTAGCAGTTCCCCATACAAAACTTCTGCAGCTGACGTTTTGATGTCATTTTTTAGTGCCGCCCTGATTCCGAGAAGAACGAAAGGTAGGGAATGGTACCAAGAACTCTTGTGACACATTAAAGCGGCCTTTAAATGGCGGTGGAAACGCTCTATCATCCCATTAGCTTGGGGATGATAGCTCGTAGTACGAACGCGTTTTGTGGCTCCTAAATCTATCAGTCTGTTGAAAAGTTGGGACTCAAATTGACGTCCCTGGTCCGTTGTGACAGTGATCGGTACACCAAAGCGAGCGATCCAGCCATGGGTGAATTGATCAGCGACTTCTACTGCGGTTATCGACGACGTGGGCCAAACTTCGGGCCAGCGTGAGAAACGGTCTACTGCTGTTAGGCAATAAGTGAATCCGTTTGAAGAAGGCATCGGTCCAATAATGTCCAGGTGAACATGACGGAATCTGCCTGAAGGTGTGCTAATGTTGCCAAGTGGTGAAACGGCATGGCGCGTTACCTTGCTGCTCTGGCAGGCGAGACACTCGCGTGCCCAGGAGCGGCAGTCTTTAGCAATGCCTGGCCAAACATAGCGGTCGCTAATGAGGCGCGCGGCAGCGCGTGCGCTGGGGTGGCTGAGACCATGTAAGCGATCGAAGACGGCTCGCCGATATTGTTTTGGCAAAAAGGGTCTAGGTTTGCCTGTTGACACATCACACAAAACGGAAATGTTGGATCCAGGTATGAGGGTTGGCTCTAACTGTAAAGAAGAATGGACCTTTACGGTTTTAAGTTCGTCGTCCGTCTGCTGAGCTTTTGCCAGGGCTGCGAAATCGTCATCGAGCGTGATAGCCTCAATGCGGGACATTGTGTCAGCAACGATGTTGTCTTCCCCCTTCACATGTTTGATATCAGTTGTAAACTGGGAAATAAACGTGAGTTGGTTAAGTTGAGCAGGGGGCAATTTTTCACGGCGTTGGACGAAAGCATAAAGAAGCGGCTTGTGGTCCGTGTAGATTGTCGCGTGTTGTGGCCTCTAGTATATGCCGGAAATGCTGTACGGCCGCGTCCACTGCGAGAAGTTCGCGGTAATACGCGGGCCATGTACTTTGGCTCTGTGTTAGCTTTTTGCTAAAGAATGCCAACGGCTGCCAGCCTTGATCAGACCTTTGCTGTAAGGCAGCGCCGACATGAGTGCTGGAGGCGTCCGTGTACAACCCTAAACGAGCATTTCGTTGCGGATGTACAAGCATGGTGGCCTCTGAGAGACTTTCGCGACACTCGTAGAAAGCACGCTCCAAGTCTGCCGTCCAGGGCACAGCTTTTGAACCTTTTAGGTTGCTAACTGTTAAAAAATCCACAAGTGGAGCTTGCAGCTTGTCGGCTTTGGGAAGAAATTGGCGGTAATAATTTACCATCCCCAGGAACCGTCTCAATCCTTGAGCTGTTTTGGGAAGCGATAACTCGCGGAGAGCAGCGATCTTCTCTTCAGGTGGGCAGATACCATCCTTGGTTATCTTATAACCTAGGAAGATTACCTCACATGCCCCCAATACGCACTTATCCACATTGACAACGACGCCATAGTCCACCAGTCTTTGCTGGATTATGCGCAGGTGTTTGGCGTGCTCTTCAGCATCCCGTGAGAATACCAAAATATCGTCAATGTAGGGAAAAGCGAAGTCTAGTCCGCGCAAGATCTCATCGATGAAACGCTGGAAGGTTTGGCCAGCGTTGCGTAACCCCAAGGACGCCACATGCCATCCTTTTTGGGTGCTAAATGCAGTGGTGCCGACCAGGGGCTTTTAGATGGGCGAGCAGTACCCGCCGACACCATGTCATTAAATTCCTTCTCAGCAATTTTTAGCTTGTTGGGTGCTAGTCGACGAGGACGCGACGTGACAGGCGGCCCACTAGTTGTCGTTATATAGTGAACAGTGCTGTGTTTTATTTGACGGTCAGCTGTAGGTGGGCGCGTCACTTCCGGAAAGTCTAAAAAGAGTTGATTGAACAGGGAATCGCGAGACGGTTTTTTTTACGGTCCTAATACTTGGCTGCATTATATTGCGGTTACAACAATATGCGGATAAGTTTGTAAGCTCATCGCGCAGTGTGCCGCTACGGCAGTCGGGTAGGAGGTGGAAGAAAGCTAGGAAATCCGAACCGATAATTGGGACATCCACGTCAGCACAAATAAACTCCCAGCGAAATTCACGGCGCAGTCCTAAATTGAGGTTCAGATTAACTGTGCCGTAAGTTTTAATGGAGCTGCCATTTGACGCATTGAGAGTAAGTCCTGTATTTGAGAAACGTCCTTTTATAAGTTTTCGTGGAAAACAACAAATGTCCGAACCGGTATCTTTCAAAAAATTAATTTTGGTATTTTGATCGGTAATAAAAAGGCGTTTGCTGGACTGTGCGCGGTCGGTACTTGCCACGTCCGACCGCTCCCTTAGTTTAAAGGTTTGGTAGCTCCTTCAATGGTCCAGCTGCATCCTGGTATGCATTTGCTTGCTTTGTTGCCGAAACGATCGTGGTACCAGCAAAGCTTCTGATTACGTGGGCGTGAGCGCGACCGAGAGCGGCTCCGCTTTTGATTAACGCGTGAGCTCCCAGATCGTTCATGGGTGTTTGTTCTGAGCGCTGAGACTGTTCGCGTCAATTCCTCGATCTGCCGCTGTATTGACGCGAGAGTGGGCTCAAAGGTATGATGCGCCGAAACCTGGCTCACGGTGGTAGGCCTCTCGGTCAACTCCACCAACTGGTCGGCCAACTCCGTCAAGTCCTGGATCTTCTGTGCGGCCAACACAATTTGAACCTGCCGGGGAAGCCGATTGGTCCAAATTGATCGCAGCAAGTCAGCGGGGAACGATTGCCCAGCCAGACTCTTCAAGTGTCGCATGAACGAAGATGACTTGCGGTCACCTAACTGTTCCTTTTCTAGTAAGCGCCGCACCTTCTCCTCGAAGGAATCGGAGAATCTAGATATGATTGCGCTTTTTAAAATTGTGTATGGTTGCAACTCGGGAGGATGTGTGATAATATCTTCGACCTCCTTCGTACACTCGGTATCTAAATGCGCCACGGCGAAATGAAACTTCGTCATTTCGACGGTAATTTGGTTAATGTGGAACTGCGCCTCTAGGCTAGCAAACCACAATGCGGGCCGATCCTTGCTAAAAGGCGGTGTCCTAATTGCGACCCTGTTTACGTAAATGGGACTGCCACCGACTAGTGCAGTAGCATCACAACCCTCGTTGCCAACGTGGCCCTCTGAAACGTTAGATTCTCCTTGACTCGCCATGGTTTAAAGGTAAAATCAGAAACGGTCAAATCGCAAAAACGCTTTACACATACACGCAGTGGAACAAATCGGTAAATACACAAACGAAACAATTTCAGTATTGCGCAGCAAACGTAATAATAAAATTGGTAGAAAAGTAAAGTAAGTCTAAATACAACATAAAATGATACTATCTTAAGTGTAAAATAGCACTAAACTTTCACTTGAACGAGTGTAAACGCAGCATCCGTCGCGAAGTATCAGTGGAGAGCTGTTAGTCACCTGACACAATGTTGCGGGTGATTGCCGCGCGTGGCGCGCTTTTCAACTTCCTCCTCGTCAAAGATGACGTAGCTCCGGTAGAGAAAGAAAAATGGCCGGCCTCGATGCGAAAAATCCGGCCGGCTCAGCGCTACATAGAATGGACAAAATACGAGTCCAATAGCGATGTAGATTATCGTAGATGCGTTTACAATTGTTGCGATTATAGCTTCATGGCTGTTCTGTACAATCTCCCTCGCAGGCTATACCATAGTCTCACTCGCAGGTGGCTTTTCTAGTCTCCCTAGCAGACTTCTCTGCACGGAGGGAAAAACAAAAAGAAGGAAGCGTACCTAGGCGGCGTCGCAGAATGGAACAAACCTCGATTATCGCGGAAATTGTTGTTTCCGAGCGAAACTGCAGAGCGTAGCGACGTGGGCTCCGATGTTGCGCATATTTATCACATCACGTCGGGGTCACCAGTTTGGGAGCCGGCAGGAGGGAATAATTAAGATGCAGTACAAAGAACAAGCCGTGTTGAGGAAAACATAATCTTTTATTGTCATTCGTTGCTATAGAAATTTGTCAATAATAGGGTAATGCTAGACCGATGAGAGTAAGGGTGTAAAAGATAAGAGCGGTGCTACACAGTAGCAAATGAGTCGCCACATCATGAAAGAAATCGACAAAAGCATTTGGTAATGTTTTTAGTTGTGGCAGCAGCATGAATTTGTAGGTCAACAATGCTACGGATTATGATTGCTAAAATTAATTCACCACTGACCTTAAAAGTTACATTTTATTTACCTTAACAAAACGTAAAAGTCATTAAAACAATATCTTTGAATACAATAGCAGGGCTTTTTTTGCAGAATTTGAAAATTGTATTGAGGGTTATTTAGCGGTACCTATTTCATCTTTCTGGATTTCAGGGCCATTTTTAATAGTTGGTAATGGCAGCACTGTGCTATTGATATACTTTGGCAGTTGCTTTTAGGGATGAGTAATGAAAAAAATATTTTATATTTTTTAAACAAATATCGATAACTATCGAGTGAAAATTATCGATATATCGTCATTTTTCTCAGGATTATTTATACATATTTTTAAATCATTCGAAATTTTGTAAAATAGAATAGACATGAAGATAATAGATGAAAAGAGCTTTTAAAGTTAATAATTACCTTACGGTACATGCAAAGAGTATCTATTAGCACGAAACCAGAGTTGCGTTAAAAATACCTATATCGAAGTTGACACGAATTCGATAGTTTATATATCGATATGAGGTCAATATGTTGTTATATCGATAATTGTATGGAAAAATAAATCGATAGTTTTATATAATTATATTTTGCCCATGCCTAGCTTGCTTGGCACTTTGACTTTGGCAGTTTGTTTTTTTACATCTATCTCATATTTATGATAACACAACACAAATATTACAATTGTTTAATATATTTATATATCGTTTCTATAAAGTGTTAAATTAAAATGACATTGAAATAGAATTTACAAATAATTAGTACGTAGTAATATACGATATGGTTCATGCCCCATATCGTATTCAAAATTTTTAATAATAGTGCTGTTGTACAACAAATACAAAACTAAGAAAAAAGTTTTGGACAAAACAGCAATATAGATAAACATGTCTGTCATAGTTATAGCTGTAGGCACTGAAAGTGGTGTCCCAATATTTACACGAAAACGCGGTAACAATGAAAATGTAAATATTACATGTTAATGATATTAGAATCGGATCTGTTTAATATAAAATTACTTTACAACATTTTGAAGCGATTCCTTTAGAGTTGTAATTTTTTTAGATACAGTTTTCTACGATTGCTTCACTCCACGGAATAAACATGTTTAGTAAATGCCACAACTTATCTGTTATCAACACATTGGTCGAAAACGGAAGAATTCTATGGAAGGAATATTATAAGAGGTGCGATTACAATATACTAAAAATCGAATAAACTACCTTAATACTCTTAATTCCTTTACTGAAAGATTTACACTAAATTTTAACTTCCCAAGAAATCCCATCGGTAGTTATCTCTGTTTACATTCATTATTTCGTTTAGTTGGTTATTACGTAAACAAAGTATGATATGAACGATTTGACTGATTTATGATCCAAGGGTAAACTAGTCTATCGTGAACAATGTTATTTATATATATAGTATATCTCCTTCATCAGGTAGATGTCTGCTTCCTCTTAAATGCTTCCACTAATGATAAATATTTCAAGTATTCTATACAGTTAGTACAATTCAAACAATTTATATTATATGTATATGGGGGAAGGATTTCTAAATTAGTGGACACATTCTTAGTTTCCAAATAATTATTTATTTTCTTCCTATTTACTAAATACACCTTAATATCATCTTAAAAAACTCAACGCTTGTCATCCGTCTTTTCACCCAGCCCACACTCTCCATCCGTCTTCACTCTTGATCACTCACTCTATTTGTTTCCCTTTCCCTCAACATTCTGTTTCTATGCATTCACTACCATTCTCATATATACAGCTTGTCGTTACAACCGTGACAATAAATGAACACACATATAGAGATAACTTTTTAAAATTGTTTTAAGCATTTACATTCTTTAAGCATCAATATTTACCCAGTCATTAAATTTTAAAAAGCAAACATTTTTAGAACACCCTTACATATAAAACTGTAAAACGTAAAGTTAATTTGTAAAGATCACAAAGCATATGAATGGGTTGAATGAATTTGAAAGAGACTTTTTCATTCGTTGCCACAATATCGCATTACAAGTCTCTCCTTCTAAGTCTGTTTTATCTCTTTTAAATTCATTCTTATGCTTTGTGACCTTTACAAATGAACTTTACCTTACAGATTTATATGTAAGGGTGTTCTAAAAATATTTGTTTTGTAAAATCTAATAACTCGGTAAATATTGATGTTTAAAGAATGTAAATGCTTAAAAAAATTTTAAAAAGTTATCCTCTAATTGTGTGTTCATTTATTGTGGCGATTGTAATGGCATGCTGTATAAATTTAACATAGTGTTCATTTTACACAAATAAATTAAAATTATTTAATATATTTCAGTGTAACGCTCATAGGCATTGTAACAGGTGGATTTGAGTGCGACTTGGAACTTCTACTCTCCTGCATTAATGATGTAATGGTATTTTGTGTAGGACAAAAAGAACTGCAGAATCTGAAGAACATAGATCAATTGAAAAGAGATTTAAGACAATGCTATCCTATTTTAGATTATTTGTTGGAGTCTTTAGACCCTAATGCAGGGCCTCCAATGACTTTGGCTCTTGACCTTATTCAAAGTTTCCTGTGCCCACAATCGCAACATTTACAGGTGAGATTGTTGCAAGATTGATAAATTTTATTGGACCTTAATGTATTACTCACAGTTGCCTATATGTATTTGCATGCATGGTTCTCATTAAAAAAATAGACAATCTTCTTCAAACTATCATCTGCCATTACCCCCTTAAAATATAAAAATACAAAAACTACAAAAATCACCATGATTTAATTGTGGTGAGTAAATGAAATTCTAATTTTTAAGGACACAACTTTAAAGTTTTTCTCTCATTTCATACCCCATAAAGTAGACATTTCAAATAATCCATTCTTATCTAATGCTTACATAAATGCTATAATAATTAACATAAAATAAACCTACAAACACTGGAAATTGCAGCTTTCTAGATTTCATAGTATTGGCTGTGTTGATAGTGTGTCAAGACAAACAAATATAACTGTAGAAGTGCCCTGGTAGTATGTTTCATAAGTATAAATAATAAGTGAGTAAATAATCATCCTGGAGGATTGACTTCTATGTAATGATTACACTACTTCTATGTAGTCAATAAATAGTATACCCTTGTATACATATATTTTGTTAGTTAATTTACTTATGAACTATTTTAATGAGAGGTCATAAGACTCATATAAAAATTCTTTATTAGTTGACAAACTTATTCACTGCATAAACCTTTTATTATGTGAGGAAGGTGATAAACAAGCAGGCAGAAGGACATTGATGACAGTGATGACCACCATCCACGGATATCTACAGCTTAGTGTTGCAGATGTAATGCCTATCTTTTTTTAGTTATCTCAATAACTTTCAATAAAAATCCTATGGTTTTATACATTAAACATTACTTCAGCCAGTTCTAGATAACTATGCAGAAAAAGTCACAGGTCGATGGGCATGTCTTTCTATTCATGGGCATTTGGTTGCAACCAGTTCTGATTTCTATGAGTTGGATCCGAGAGAGGCACGATTACTGCTATTGCTGGCTGCAGCACAAAGTGGAGCTCCCCTAAGAGACACCCTGGTTTATTTGCCTTATATGAGTCCTGATGTAAGAATTTTTCTGCTTTTATAATATATCAGAAATTAAAAAGATAGTATTTACTTGCAACTTTTTACTTTATTGACTGCATATTTACATGTATCAATCAAGTTCAAGTTTAGTTACCTTCTTAAGAAGTTAATACATGTAAATCTGGGTCACACATAAGAATCACCATTCTGAATAAGCAAGATTGTCGAGGTCAGAGATATCATAGCATTTGGATTAATAATACAGACCAATACAATACGACCCCATTGGTATAGTAGTTAGTGCACCTGCCTCTTCCACACGAGAGTGTGTGTTCAATCCTCACTACTGGAAAAATATTGTGTGATGAATATCTAGTGTTTGGGTGTTCATATATTTATTAACAAAAGTAAAGTATGTTTTTTTATTTTACGTGAAAAAGTGGCAAACGAGCTGGCCGTCACCTGATGTTAAGTAATAACCGCCGCCCATAGACATTTGCAACACGTTGCCACCTTTAAATAAAGTGGGCCCCGGCTACCTCGCTCACCAGACGAAATGCAGAAGTGTAACACTTCTACTTTACGCTGGTCTTCTGTGAGATCGTGGTAATTACCCGAACGGACCTGCTCATTCGTGCAACAGTGAAAACTGTTGCGTGGTCCTACCACAGTGGTGTACCACAATGTTTATCAGTTCTATCTAGTGCCCATAGTACAAGCGTTGCTTAGTTTGCGATTAAAAAAAGTTGTGTAAAAAAAATGTGTCCTAAATATTTATTCATTATTATTTAGCTTAAATTTTCACCTCATTGTGGAATAGTGTCTTGATCAACATTCCTATACAATGCATTTACATGCAAAAAATTTACATCAAATATAAGTTACCGATTGGTAGTAAATTTAGGCCAGTAAATAAATATCACTGAAATATCAAACTGTTCTGATAAGAATTTTTGTCATCAGTAGTAACAAATTGTGAGAAGTCTTTTTTAATCAACACATAATAAACTCCTCGCAATTTTCGCCAACATCCACTTAAGTTTTAACTACGCCACTAGTGGTTTATTTTTGTTGAATTTAACTTATTACTTGATAGGTAGCTTTCAGAGCGGTGACTTGCAAACTTTTGGCCGACGTTTATGTACTGGTAGTTTGCGGGGCAACGCCCGCCCTGTCTGAAATCGACGAAATAGTCCTGCATTGCTGGGAGGGATATGCGCAAATGATTAAGGAAGCAAAATTGATGTACCCCCGAAACTTTCCAGCCAGCATCGCCTTCGAGCCGTGCGTTTTGAGGTACGGATTATTTAAAAATTCTTTGTATCTATTTTATCTATCCTCGTGTTTTTTTTTTTTAATATGCGAACGTTATACATCGTCGTTTCAGTATTTTCTTAGTTAACATAAATCGGCGGAGGTGTGTCTTTTCCCGTCATTTGCAGCTAACGAATCAAAAAGGCAGAGGTATGTCTGGTGCTCACCGCATGGATATCCTGCGCACTTTCTACGTAACATCGGCACGAGATTTGGCCCCCGAGTTGAAGTATCGTGAACTTCCAGATAAAGGTAAAGATAGTAGATATACTTCAAGTTGTCGAAACAAAAAGTTGTCGATATAATAATATTTTTCATTCTATAATATATGTTTTTTATCATCATCTTAATCAGAACAACATAGCGAATCATAATGAGGTTAAAAATATGTAAGTACATTGATTCAGCAGTAGGTTGCATATTTTAACTTATAAAAAAAATGTTATGATGTAACAGCCCCGAGCATTTTTTCCATTTTTATTTTATCTGAGAAGGTGGCAAGGGAGCTTGTGGTACACCTAATGTTAAGTGATAACCGCCACTCATTGACATTTGCAACACTCGGAGGGATGTAAATGCGTTGCCACCTAATAAGTAAGTAGGCCCCGGTTACCATACAAGAAATACAATACAACATTTAAACGGTTGTTTCTATAGAAATAAGAGAAACCATAAATCGGATGGAATGACTCCCCCCCCCCAAGGTTTTATAACTAATATTATTTAAAGGAAAGAAGCGAATGCCATATACGAATATCCTTTCAGAACAAGATAATGAACCGATTGGCAAGATGTGCGAAACGTATTGGTGCTCCGAATATCACAAATGTCACGCACTACGTTCCGGAAATTTAGTGTGTTGCGTACTTTATGCCCCCACAATACCTACGCATACAATGAGGTAAACTGAAAATCAGCAAAACACTTTTTTTCGCTGATCATAACGGCTAAATTTCTCATTTTATTTCAGATTACTCACTGGCCAAATGACACAAGAGTTCCTTTCGAATAAGGACATAAATTGGTAATCTGTACATTGAATAATTATTGAGTTGACTCTCTAAGACTCAGAAACAACAAACTCAAAGAAGTCGAAGAGCTCACCAACCAGTTATTGTGGATTGATATTGTCTGGGTGATGAATTTGGTTGAAAAAAAACCGTTGAAATAAATCAGTTTAAAATTTAATATTTTTATATATTTTAAATTAGTATTATAATAATATACAATAGTTTGTAATGTCCACAATCCGTCCAATTAAATAAAAATAAATGGGAACTAATGTTGTGTTATCATTACAACATTCAAATGCTGATAGTACCGAGATCATACGTTAACAAGTTTCGCTACGGAATGTATGTTCAAGAATATTCCTGATCCGAAACAATAAATGTTTGTCAATTACAACTTTTTACTTTAACTGATATTTTTTGCTTTCTTTTCGTAGAATGTTAAAGCTTTATCTAAAGCAGAAGTTGTGTGCTAGCCAGACAGAACCTACGAGTTTAATGCAGCCCCCCGCGTTGGTAGAGATTATAAGCGGGAGTTATAAGAGGGATTGTATGTCACCAACTAATGTATAACGTTTCTAATATCCCTGTGTTTGAACACAAAGATTTTGAATCAATTGACGACCCGATTGTCGTGGGGAGTAGAGACCCTGCCTCTTGCGCCAAAGGGTGTGGGTTTGATCCCCACTACTGGAAAAATATTGTGTGATGAACATCGTGTTTTTCCAGTGTCTGGGTGTTTGTATATGTATAATATGTATTTATTTACAAAAGAAAAGTATGTTTAAGTATGTTTATCAGTTTATATAGTACCCAAAGTACAAGCTTTGCTTAATTTGTAACTAGAAAACGGTGTGTAAAAAAAAGATGTGTCCGATATTATATATATACAATGCTTTTTGCCAGATAGTTTACAACTATATATAGACTAGTGTCTGTAACAGATTTCTAAACTATCACAATGATTCTAATGATTACATGTTTTTCACTTTTTTTTAACCAATAAACTTATTATTATTACTGTTGACGGAACCGAGACGTGGTCCTTCAGTGCTGGCCGTATGAAGAAGCCCAAAATCGCTCGGTGAGTTTAAGAGCGAGCTATGCTCGGTATTTCTCTGCGTGATAGAGTTCTGCAGTAGAACAATAGAAATCGACATTGCTCAGCAAGATTAGCAAGCTGAAGTGGCGATGGGCCGGCCATATAGCTCGAAGAACCAATTACCGATGGGGAAAAAAGGTTCGGGAGTGATAGCGTGTTGATCATCGCAGTGTAGAACTACCCCCTACGACAAACGACGATTACATGGAGTAAAAATATATGCGGGGCGGTGAGAACTGCTCTGAAGCAAGGATGTACCTTGTATTCTCAATGTGCTGGTTTTGCCTTGCTCGTAGTCGAGACGAACTAGTACTTGTGTTTGCACTATATCTATTGTATATTGTTGTCTAGCGGGACCCTCGGTGGGTCCGACGCACTCATTTTCCCTTGCTCGACCGAGTCAATGAGGACATTACGCGTGCGCCATATGTAAATTGGCCGCGTTTATGTCGGTATGGTAATTCGTTATTTAGCACCTGAGGGTCGGAATAGTTTACGGCTCTTTCGATAAGCCGTTTGGTTAAATCTTTAAGGGTGTTACGCTGTTACCACCTAGCACTAGGAATGTGTATGCGGTAATGGAATATGTATCACTGCATAGTAAACAAAGTCGTCCGCTGTTTGTCTGTCCCTATGTAGCTTCGATCTTTAAAACGTCGCAACGTATCTTGATGCGGTTTTTTTCTACTAGATAGATTGATTTAAGAGGAAGGCTTATGCGTATAATACATTGCACCCGCGCGAGGCTGGGGCGGGTCGCTAGTTTTTTAAAACTGAAGTGAATAACAAGCATTCAGCTAATCTGTTCGAGTTGGCCGATGTACTTTAAGTTGTGAGTTGTTTTAGACAACCCTAAAACTCATGAAACGATTAACCCGTTTCTCCGTATCCTTTCCTCTGTCGTCGTTCCTATTTACCCCAAAGGTGGTTCTTATCATCTCTTTTTCGTATTTATTGACTTCAAATTGAATAAATAGGCATTGTTCTGATTTTTCTCTCATAGAGAATAAAATGTTGAGTGATGAGAGAATGATGAGTTAAGAACCTCAAAATAAATCAAATTTACAAGAAAACCTGTACAAAGTTGTTTTGAGAAAAAGTTTTGAACACCTCATATTCACATTTTCAAATTCAGACACTTATAACGGTTTTTTATTTGTCACAGACCTTTTTTTTTCCACGTTGCCAATATAAAGATAAAATGTTACTCTATCATAGATAGTAGAAATTAAAACGTAAACCGGCTAGACACAGCTTGATTAAACTACATTTTTTTTATATACACACCTTTTTACGGTACTTAAATAGATCCCACAATAAAGTTAGTATTCATACTGCATCAAAATACCACCTTACCATTACATGTTAAAAGAATTTGAAACGTGATCTGATCAATTGAATGGGAAATAAATGATACAAAAATTTATTTAAATTGTTTAATTACCAGAACATTCAAACACTAAAACACAAAATGTGCTGGCTTAACTAGGATCATATTTAAATAAGTCACTATAAAGGCAGATTTCTTACTGAAATAAATACCGCGCCAACCTTCCTGTATATGAATTGTTACTTTTCAAATTGTAGCCATGACGACATTCTATTTGTCTCCATGCAAATATTTACGACTATCTTTACAATTAACATTTTTAAAGAGCGAAAAAGCATTGTATAAAATCATGCTCGCTATAGTCTGAAAATAACAATAAATCTGTACACTGTCATAATGTTAGAGATTAGTAAAAAATTGGAACTACCATGCTCACTCAGACTTAAATTAGATTTCAACTAATTTGCGTCAAGTTAAGTTGAAACACCAAGTCGCAAATGAATGATAGTTAATTACTAATTAACGTGTCTCTCACCACCCAGCCGTAACTTTTAACCATCATGAATTAAGTCTCATATTTCATTGTTTTAATGCAAGTTGGTAATGAACTACGTTTTGTTCAGATTCCTGGGCACAACTTTCGGCGCACAATACAATCTAAGCACAATAAACGTCTATAAATTCATGATTTAATAATGGTTGCTAATAAAAAATTTTAAACAATTCCTTCTCTAATATTAACGACCCCGTTATCTCTGATCTCTGAATAACCGTTACATCATACCATCCACCCAAACTGCACACATTACACATACTGATAAAATAATACAAACAGTAGTAGGACTTGGACTTGGCAAGCGAAGTTGCGTTTCTGGCAAATCGAGTTATCCATCAGAGGATTAAATTCATTGAAATGATAAATTGTAATTATATTCATCAAGCATCAAATATTTTTTTTTTAATCAAAGGTTACAATTTTGTTAAGTTATTGTTTTTGACACGCGCTTAGTACTAAGCACGATAAAAAAATGGTAATGATCGATTTCAAAAACAAATATTTCACATTTAAAGTCAAGAGTTTTATATATCACTAAGCCGTATTACAACACCGAACAAATTCGCGCAATATTGCTTATTAATTCAACGTTAACGTTAAGCTAATATAAAAGTTAACTGTAGCTATGTACGGATTTTTTGTATAAATTTACCGTTCTAAAAAGACTACTAAAATATTCGTGTATCGGAAGAAATCGTTTCCATTGTAAGTCGTATCCATCATAAAGCAAACATATTCTGTTATGTATATCTTGTTTTATAAAAATATCGACACTAATATGAACTTGCAACAAGTATTTATTCTTTGAATAGTTTCATATAAAATACACAAATTACAAACAACAAAGGGAAACTTGAATGTAATGTGGAATTCAAATTTTAAAAACCATCCTTATGTTATTCATTTCTACTATTAAGTAAAATATAAGATTATACCTTGATAAAGTACATACAAATGGGCAACCAGTGTGTTATATTTCATTCATGTACATTAATAATTTTTATAAATTTGTCTTAGTAATGGGGACATGCTCCATTTATAAATGTTGCTAACATATATTTAGAAATGGAGATAACAGTATTGCATTGCTTGACTAAAACACATTCAAATCGTAAACATAATTGACTCATGGTATAGAAAGATATAACAAAAGCAACCTTAAGGCCACAATCTTCTCGGGTCATCTTGAATTATTTTACAATTAGAACCAATAGTTTTAACTATTGTTTATATATTTTGACTCTTGTTTATTCCACAACTATGTAATCCTTTATCAATCTAATAAGTGCAAGCGATGTTGTCATTGTTTTATAAATAATTGATTATTATATAAACATGATTTTTTTTTATTTAGGTTAAATAATGTATTTTCTTGAAAACAATAATGTAGACAAATATTAATTTAAGGCATAAAATACAGTGGACATACATATTGTTATATTCTTTAATGTAATTATGATTTAAAGAAATTTTTTGCTCATACTCTGTGAATTTAAACTGTAGGCTAGTTAAGTTTTACAATCAAGTTTATATTTCAGTGCTCGGGACAAATTAATTTTGGAATTTTCAATGGTAATTTACCACATCCTGGATAACTATGTAGGAATTAAAAACACTCATTCTTTTCCAAAAGTGATAGACATATTTGTATGTGCAGGCTGCTACATTTACAATATTTTTTTTATGATTCTTATACATATTTATTACAAATTTCAATATTGTTTTCAAGTTGACTATTCACTTGAGAAACATTTGCTTTAAACAATTTTTTTTTGTTTGAGTTTAACCTGCTACTCCATAAATTTTATAAAAGTTCCTATATGGCCTCATATCACTAGATTTTTCATTCCTCTTAAGAAATATTGAATAAAGGAATAGTGGTAAGTGAAATCATATTTCAAAAAACAGTGCAAAACTTATTTGGGAATGTAGCAGTTTTTTAACATTAAAATAGTTTTCACAGAGTGATTTACACTTAGTTTGTTAATAATTGAAATGGCTGTAGTTTTATCATCTAAAGTAAAGGAAAGTACTAAATTTGAAAATATCAATCATAAATAAAGACATTACAAGAATTGTTATTAGATAAAAAAAACATTAATATGTGTCAAGCTTTCTTCAAAATGTGGCAATATTGCAACCATGGAAGGTGCATTGGATGCATTAAAGAAAAAGGTGGCAAGTAGCATAGTACTTGAAAAGCTTTTTATCAGGTTCAAATAAAGGCTTTCTGCCTCTCAAGAGAGAGGCAAAATATACTACTTAAAACTAGACAGCATTCTGCACTGGGGTTGTTTTATTTTACACTTCAGTTGTTGTATTAAGTCAAATATTTTCAAAGACGGACCCACTTTCATCTCTAACAACTCAATGATCTCATCTTTGGATAATTGCAGCATCATTGGTCCAGTGATGTGTGCGAAGTTGACGCAGTAGGGCTGGCAGTCATTCACGGTGAGGAACTTGGAGACATCGGACGTGGTCCAATTCTCGGGGTCCACTGAGTTCAGAACTTCTAACGGCACTGTTGTATTGACTAGTCTGGGTATCACTTTGTCTTCTTCACCCTCCATTGGTGCCTCTTCTGATTGGGTAGTGTTCTGACTGGAATCTTGAGACGCCTCAGTTTGCATACTCTGAAATTAAGGATATATTATTTAATTAAAGTTACAATGACCAATGAAGGTCATTAATATGTAACCCTGAACGTCTGACACATGCAACATTGGCATATGCTGCATACTACCACATAAAATAAAATAATAGTAAAAATACATAAAACTTAGGCTTGTTTGACACTAGTATTAAGGTTCCAATGTACCAAAGACATTGTAACAAAGGAAAGTAAATGACTTGGAGATTATTGAAGGGGCTTACAATGACATCCAAGTTTGGCTCACTAAGCCTTTCGTTGCTTTCTTCAAGGGTTTCATTGAGCTCTAGATCAACTTCCATCTTGCTAACTTCATCCATATTCGGAACATTATCTTCAGCTTTGGATTCTGTCTCGGCAGAAACCTCCGACACGCTCGTAGGCGGTGACAGACTCTTGGTTTCACCCATATCTGAATTTTGTGAGCTCTCCTCATTTGTGTTTGGAGTCTGGGCTGCCGTTTTGCTAACTGGAGATAGTATAAATAGATTTAATAATTAATTTTTTATATTTACATTTCTAGAAAATTGTCTTTAAAATTTTACTTATGATGAACAATGACTGAAATGTTTAATAATTAAGGTCTGAATGTAAGAATATTTAATAGAGAAACAGATGAAAAGAAAGTGTAGGTTTGCTAATTTTATATTGAGCTTTCGACCATTGCAGGAGTAAGTAAGATGTATTCTGCATGCACTTGAGTTCAATTTCAGATGGTTCACCAGATGTTAATTAATTACTACCTGAACGAAATGCGAAAATCTAACATTTCAACTTCACCTGATATCTCATTCTGTTAGTCTGTAGTACTTACCCGGTCCTGGCTCTGCCACAATATTAGAGCGAAAAGTATATGCCTCTCAAGGTGCGCGTACACCGACAGTCAAAAAGCGTAATTAAGAAGTTGGTTGCAAAGTGACCATTTGATTAATGATCTTTTTCACAAACAAAGAGTACTGTACTGGCACAGGGCATAAAAATTTTATGGCAGACATGAAACCGTAGTAGGGCCACGGCTGTTCCAAGAATGGGCAGGCTCATTCGAATAAGTACCACAAACTTGCAGAAGAGTGAAGTGAAGTGGAAGTATAACACATTCGCGTTTCGTTTGGTAAGTTAGCCAGAGCCCAGTTTTCAAAAAGGTTGTCAACGCATCGGCAGATCCTCGGGTGTATAGCAGATGTCCATGGTGGTATTCACTTAAAATCAGGCGAACCACCTGCTCGCTTGACAACTTTTCACATTAAAAAAAAAGACGGATGATAGAAATCGCCGAGGCTACACAGGCGCTCACGGGGGAGCGTCGCCCTCTCGCTCGCTCGGCAACCTTCTCGCTCGCTCGGCAACCTTCTCGCTCGCTCGGCAACCTTCTCGCTCGCGCGGCACTCGCCACTGACCCTGTTTCCTGCGGCGGCGGTGCTGGCGGGGGGCGCGCGGGGGCCGCGCTGGCCGCGGCGGCGCGCGCCTCTGCGCCTGCAGCGGCCCCTCGAGCCGGTGGCCGACCGCGCGGCACCACCCCACCGGGTACACGTCCGTGCTGTGCGCCCACAGCCACTGGTCGTACTCGGAGCCCCAGCCGTCGAAGTGCACCTGCGCCGGCCGTGACTCACGGTAACTTGTCACTTCATTCGTTCACACACGTCCCACAAATTGCGTGTGTGCGTGCGTGTGCGCGCATGTGTGTTTGGGTAGTTTGTTATTGTTTTTTTTTAGTTTACGCGTTACGATCGGAAATACTGATGGATGAACATAATACTATAAAATTACTGCTAGGTCGCGACTTCCCTGGCCACTGATGGCTTCGACTTGTAGATAGCCTCGCAAACTGGGGCTCAACGATACGTTTAATAGTAATGCATCTATCGGATAATAATAATAATATAGAAAAGCAACAAAGATGGCTTTGTGGCGCAGATGCCAAGGTATTGGCTTCGGCTTCGGTATCGTGCGTTCGAGCCCACAATAGACAAATATTTGTGTGACACACAGATTTGTTTGCCCAAGCGGAATTCATATATGTAAAATGTCATTACATCGCCCTGACACACGATAATACAATCCTACAGTATGTTACAATATAATCTGTTAATACAGTCCTATGAATATTTTCGAAGGGAAGACTACAACAATTCTTACTAGGTCGGGAAGATTTTTAATTTCTGTGGCTCGATTTTTACCGAGTCCCGTCCACTTTATAGCTGCTAGACAGGCTTTCACTTTTTTTTTTAATTTTCGCAATGTTGTTTTACATTCTGTGTAATTAAAGTTTTTTGTGTATTTATTGTGGATGGACCGTGACGGACGCAGATGTTTCTTTCTTTCCTCAAAACGGAGAGCGGACCTTGAGCAGGTCGGCGACAACCCTGGCCACGGTGGCGACGCACACGAGGCGCGGGTCCATCAGGTCGGCGCACTCGAGCCGCATGCCGGCCACGAAGCCGTGCGAGACCACGTGGCCGCGGGCCGCGAACAGCGCCCGCCCCGCCGCCGCCGCACCGCTGCCGCACAGGTACTGCTCCCAGCCGAACTCCTCCACCGTGAACCTGAAACGGCACCGCCCCTCAAATGAACGAAAGGGAAGACTATGCACCTTCGGTGGCGGATTTGTTGTCTTGGTCGCCCTAGGCCCAGACTACAAATCCGCCCGTACCGCCCATGTAGTAAGTTCAAGACGCCCCTTTCTCAGAGCCAATCATATATATCTTGTTATCGTCAGTGAATTTTTTGTCACGATTGACTGACCCTAATATGTGGCCGCCCTAGGCCCGGGCCTATCTGGCCTTAGGGCAAATCCGCCACTGCACCTTTGCATTTTCTCCGTTTAAAGGCGATTAAATATTAAAATTTTATTGCTAGATTGAGACTGCCTTGCGCATGAAAGTGAAACAAGAAATAATAAAAGACGTGTGGACAGTAAAAGTTTCTGTAGGAATAGTAGACAATTGAAAATACTCATTACAATAAATTATTATTCATACATTTTATTTATTACAAACCTACAGATTTCAACAATAACCATGATGTAGCAGTTGCGTTAATAACCTTAAAGAGGATGGCCCTAGTAGTCTAACTCACAATGTGAAATGCAGAAGTATAAATACTACAACATTGCAATCCTCTTGGACTGTGACGCTTCCCGAGACTAGCCGGTCTACTCGTGTAACAGCAGTCTGCTGTGTCCACCACGCACCCTTCTATTCTACGGCGTAATAAATCAATAAAATCTTACCCGGCAGGAGGTACTAGCGGTATGTTGTTCGCCAGCGCGAACCCCACAGGGAATATGCACGGCGAGCGCTGGTGGTAGCAGAACCAGTCGGCGCCCGACGCGTCCGCCGGGTAGCAGTCGATCCTTATCATCATATAACCCTCGTTCAGTATCTGCATCACGGTAGCCGCGCACACCGCCGATAGGTTGAGAGGGTCTATCGCCTCCAGCTTCATCCCCTCGGAGAATAATGGCGGCTCGTTGCTCGGATACTTGTAGAACATGTCCGGCGTTGAGTCGTTTGGAAGTAGGCGGCCGGCGGCGACCCGCTGGCAGTAGCTCTGCGGCGCATCCAACGGGTGGCCGATCCGGAAAGCCCAGCCCACCGGGTGGATCAGGGGCGAGTCCTCGTGGCACCAGAAGCCGTTGTCCTCCGGCGAGCTGTCGTAGTACTTCACATGCAACCGCTTGCCGACTATTTCGCATACACTCGCCACCTGCAATGTCGATAAAGATAATAAGTAAACATTTCAGGACACACGGTGGTAGGGCCACGCAGCAGCCACGGCTGTTGCACGAATGGGCAGGTCCGTCGGTAAGTACCACGACCTCATAGAAGACCAGCGTAAAGTGGAAGTATGACAAATACTTTCGCGTTTCGTCTGGTGAGTGAGTTAGCCGGAGCCCAATTTTCAAAATGTTGTCAACGCATCTGTAACCCTCGGGTGTAACAGATGTCCGTGGGCGGCGGTATTCACTTACCATCAGGTGAACCGTCTGCTCGTTTGGCAACTTTTCACATAAAAAAAACATTTTTACAGAGTGTTTAATTAAACGTTTATCGAAATATATAAACCTATAGACACTAGAAAAACACTATATTCATTGCACAGTATTTTTCAAGAAATGGGGATTGAACATTCACTGTCTAGCACAAGAGGCAGGGACACTAAAACATTAGGCCAATCGTTAGGCAAATTAATTATTCGTGATTGATGCAGTGCTGTGATGTCTCAGTGGCTCAGTTGCTAAGCTATTGGTTACGGCGCCGGGGCTTGTGGGTTCGATTCCAACACGGGACATTTGTGAGAACCACAGATAGGTAATTATTCCGTATCTGGTGTTTATTCAAAAGGTTGGTCGACGTCAGGCAGGCAGCCAGTGATTGAAAAAATGATAGCCAAAAACCGCTTACAACATGATTGACTTGTTATGCCAACACAAAGATGGTGTTGATGCAATAAAAAAAAACGCGTTCGCAATTGCAGAATAAATGGATGTGTTTATCTAGTTATGATAAAAATGTGTCTTACTTTAACTTGAGATATTCTATTCTTGTCCACTACTTCCATCACTGAACCAATGGAGAACCTCGATACAAGGCTGTCATTTAATTTACTGTAGAAGTTAGCAGGCAAAGTGCGAGCACCAGTCAACTGTTTAACTAGAAACCTAAAATTTGAGATATAACAATGTAAGAAAATGAAAATAGTATAAAAATAGTATGATTTAGTATAAGTAAGATAAGAAGGCTTGGATGATAGACTTGCAATATTAAGGTTGAGACTCCACAAAACAGAGTTCCTATGAACAAGTTTATCGAGTCCATTGTCGGGATTTCTTAGAAGTAAAAATCAAGACAAAAACACATCACCTATCATGTACAAACAGTTATTGAATTGAGTGACTCTTTTTGCCTAAATTACAAATTCTTCCATGTTACTAAGCAAACATTTTAATCATGTGAGAATAAATTGGTTACAGTTTTAACAAATTAATAACAGTATTTAATTATAATTTGTTTAAACATATCAAGTTTAAACATGATGTAAAAATCATTATTTATCCCTGTGTAATCAATAGTTTCCACTGTAGTATTTGGATGATAATAACATGATAATACATGTATTTAATAATTAATGTAAACATATACAGTGTGTCTTTACAATCGCGACAATAAATGAACACACATATAGAGGATAATTTTTTAAAATTGTATTAAAAATTTACATTCTTTAAACATCAATATTTACAGAGTTATTAAATTTTCCAAAACAAACAATTTTAGAACACCCTTACTATAAAACTGTAACGTAAAGTTCATTTGTAAAGGTCACAAATCATATGAATGGGTTGAATGAATTTAAAAGAGACAAAACATACTGTTAGAGGGAGAGGGCTTGTAATGCGACACTGTGGTAACGAATGCAAAAGTCTCTGAATGTATGAATCAGTCAGTTGTAGTTGTATAGGATGTTACAAATTTTGTTTCTTTTTTACTTAATTAGTTTATTTGAAAAATATTTTTTTTAATTATGTTTTTTTAACGTTAATATTTTTTTATGAATATTGGCAAGTAGCGTTAGAGTGTGTTCATTTATTGTCCCCGTTGAAACAACACGCTCTATTTGTATGTTGATTATATTTTAAAATTATCAAGTTTCATCAAGCAAACCACCTAACACTATTCATTAATTTAATTTTCCTTGTCGTAAAGTTGTCTGGAAGAGATTGCTCTTTAGGGATAAGACCTTACTGTACCTAACTTTTAAGATTATTTTACATTAATTGTATTAAATTCTTTGTGGTGTACAATAAAGTAGAAGTTAATAAATAAATGATAAGAAGTATTTGTATCTATAATGGGATATTACACTTCAGAGATAATTTTTTTTTGTAATCATACACAATAATACTTTGTTGTTGCATTTAAAAAATTATTTTATAACAAAAGAAAATTACACACAAAGTTTTCATACTTTTTCCAATCAGTATATTTATCTTCTATGCTCCTGGGCGGTATGAGAGGTTTTCCCCTAGTTGCACACCATCCCACAGGATGGACTTCTGAGCAACATAAGTTCACCCAAAAGTCTTTTGAATCATCACTTCCAAAGCCTTCATAACGTAGCAAACCCATGTAACCCTTTACCTGCAAAGAGAAAAAACTAACTTAAGACTATCAGCTCAGTTCAAGAAATTCTCACAATATTATGATACAATTATGTGCACATTAAACAAGAAATTGGTCTTGAAATTAGAGAGCTAAATTTTAACCAACCTTCAAAACAGTAGCCACCCAGAAGTAATCATTAATTTTCTCTGAATAATTATCACAGTCTGTATTTTTTACTTCAACTTTCATGCCTTCAAATGTGTTGTCCCACATCTCATGTAAGGGAGCATGTTTGAAAAGGCTGACTGGAGCTGCTAGGAAATCACAACCAAATAATTCATCTTTCCACTCATAGCTATTTGCTATTAATGCTGCAGACTGCTTAATTGGTCCTGCCTGGAAATTTATTACATTTACAGGACATTAGTTATTGTTAAAAATGGCACTTTTCACAAGTTTTTTTCATAAATTGATGTGAAAGCAGTCTACTCCTGTTTCAATAGCTTTGTCTAACAATTTTGCTGGTTATTAAATATAATGCCTAATTAGTATAATAGCAAAAAAAATACAAGGCTTATACCACATATCGAGCTTGCTCAGAAAACTGCTATACAGCATGTCGTTACCATAGCGACAATAAATGAACACACGTCTACACACGCTACTTGCCAATAATCAAAAAAAAATATTAACGTTAAACAAAATCCATAATAAAAAAAACATTTTTCAAACAAACTAATTAAGTAAAAAAGAAAGAAAATTTGTAAAATCCTATACAACTCGCGCCACAGCGTCGTATTACAAGCCTCTCCTTCTAACAGTATGTTTTGTCTCTTTTAAATTCATTCAACCCATTTATATGTTTTGTGACACATTTACAAATGAACTTTACGTTACTCTTTTATAGGTAAGGGTGTTCTAAAATTATTTGTTTTGGAAAATTTAATAACTCTGTAAATATTGATGTTTAAGGAATTTAAATGTTTAATACAACTTTAAAAAGTTATCCCCTATATGTGTGTTCATTTGTTGTCGCGATTGTAAAGACATGCTGTATAATGGAAAATTATAAAAACCAGCCAAGTGCGAGATGGACTCGTGCACGAATGGTTCTTTACCATTATCGTATTATTTATTTACGTACATTATTATATTAGTGACAGATGGACAAACAGACAGAAAGACAAACCGCTCAGTCTTAATAATAGAGTGTCGCATTTTAAATAAGAGTTTCACTTTATACATATGTCACTATATTCTTTTGGCACAAATTTAAATGATTATTACAATTTTGAAAAACAGCAAGCAAAAAAAATCTAAATGGTCATCTTTTTTAATGGTCTCTTTCTCAGAGACATAAAATAAATCAGTAGTTTTTTCTTTTGATTTAGAACAATTTTAATAACTTAACACAAAGATGCACACTGCTATGTCATGCAATGTTACTAGTAGGAATTAAGTCTGATAGTAATTTGTTGGACCTCAAAACTAAAAGATAAATGAGCATTAAATACAATAAATATGGACACTTTTTTATAATTTAATTTATCCAAATAGTATTTTTTTTTTATTTTTACTGACAAATTTTCATCCCTTTTTTTTATAAATTATGTTTGGGTAAAAACAGGTTTAAAAAATTTGTTAAGTTAAAGTGATTAGAGGAAAATAATTAAAGTGAAAGGTAGATAGTAGTACTTATTTCTATTAAATTGTAGCCAAGTTAAGGGAAAGGAACTTAATTCCGTCTAAAATAAGATCCGTTTATTTAAATAATGATCATGGGTATCAACGAGTACTACAAGGAAACAATTTAAAGAAACATGGTATAATTAAAAACACTAATGTAAACTTAAATAAATAATTAATGCATGTTTTCCTTTTTTGGACACATTTCAAAGTTTAATTAATATATGTATAATTCTTAGTGTATGTATTAAAAAAAGAGATCATTTTTAAAGAAAAATGAATATTAAAACCGTAAAAAAATGAACATTAAAAAAAAAAGAAACAAAAATTAAAATATTAGGGTAAAACATTATTTTTGAATACCAAGTATTAAGTATGTTTTGAATATATATTTCATACTAACATGAATACAGTTCATTTACAATTTATCTATAGACCAAGTGATATAGACCCATTAATTAATATAAAGATAAAACAAAAACAAAAAAAAACCATGGTCGATTTTAAGCAGTGCACATTTACTCTAGACCAATTAAATTTGAGAGGATCAAATAATATTGTCCCTGTTCTTTAATGTACACCTTTACCTGTATAAATAAGTGAAGACAAGTAAGATAGCTAATGCTATTGACTTTATACCGACTAAGTTTATCAGAATGGTTCTAAAGTTTAAACTTAAATTTTTTGACAGCAATAACTAATTTATTACAGATTAAATAGATAATCAATAGATTTATATTAGAATGTCATAATAAAACATATTGCTATCATAAAGGTATTAAATTCTTTTAAGAGAGGCCATTAATCGAAGAAGAAGAAGAAGAAGGTATTAAACACACAAGAATCTCACCTATAAACTTATTTTGGTAGTTTTGACATAAAGGAACTGGCGTTTACCTTTCCTTGCAATACACACTGTGGTAAAGTATCTGAACTTTAAAAACACTAAAAATATTTATAATATTTTTTTAGCAGATCTGCGAATGAGATTTCTACAGATGAACTAACCTATGTGATTTATCATAATGTTCAACTAGCCAAAGTGGCAGATTGAATTTACTGTAGTGCAGATTATTAATAAACTCACAAAATCCACAATCATCAACATGTCTATGTGCGTAGATATAATATTTTACCTTGGTTCAGAAAATCGCAAAAAGCCACATGATCAACTAGTCTAAATGGAAAATTTAATCTTTACCTTGGTTAAAAAAGAAACTGAAACTATGGAAAGCCACAATTATTATTAATAAATATCAATAATTTTCAAAACCAATATTAACCTTATTCAATAAATAAAAAAAAATTCAATATTAACCTACAACCTACAACTTTCTTACTGTATCAATACTTTAACTCTTTTAATACCATATAATAGTAAATTCACCAATATAGTATAGCTTCATCACAAACAATAAATGTGTTATTTTAATATAATGATAATGATTTAATATAATAAGATTTATCTAAGAGTTACAATTTCAATAACTTGAATAGATTCCATTAAAACCCTGATTTGCAGCATACTTTCCACAATTTGACATTTGCAGATTGGTAAGTTTACCTCTGACTCAACATTATGAAATAGTTGTTGTAACACTTAGATGCTTCACTATTAAGACATTCCTTCTTACATTTTAAGGTTCGAGTAGATGTAGTTATTAGAATAGTACATAGGACATTACCTGCAAATCGTTAAATGTTGCCTGCCAATGCTGTAGTTGAGGAAGTGGTTCCAATGGAATAAGACCCGCCATGTGTTCAGCGCCTTCCATAAGCATGAATCTCCAGTTACAATGGCGACGTCTGCCTTGTTTACTGGCGTGGCATCTCAATGAACAGAATTTATTGTTGCGAGAGTAAAACTGGCCACGACGCCCAACTCTACCACATAACTCACATATTGCTATAAAAAAGTGATATATCATACATAATCCAATAATGACATTATAAAATTGATACAGATATATTAACTGTTTATTTTACTGCCCATAGAATTACATTGGACTTTTATAGTTAAATACCTAATTTTCCTTATAATCCATCTTCTGAATTTAATATTTGGGTATCTATTTGTAAAAATTTGGATGTGATTTTCTTTTTATGTGAGAATGTGGCAAACAAGCTGGTGTTTCAACTGATGTTAAGTGATAACCGCCACCTATGGACATTTGCAACACCCATAAAGTTACAAATGTGTTGCAACCTTTGTATAAAGTGGGCCCCGGCTACCTCACACACCAGACGAAACGCAGAAATGTGACACTTCTACATCACGCTGGTCTTCTGCGAGGCACTTACCCAAATGGATCTGCCTGAACACTGCTGCGTGGCCCTACTACAGTAAAATTATTCAGATAATTAATTGCGAAAAATTTACATAAAGTTACCAAAACCCAATCCTGGTTTACAAAAGAATTAAATAATATCTGACGCTTTCATGTTATGAAAAATATTTTAAAATATTTTAATTCTATAAAGTCATAGTGTCTACGAAAAAAGTACATTGTATCAGAAACTAAAAATGTTACATATGAAAATCTTAAGTCTGCGGTGCCTGCTTTCGCCTAACTGGAAAACAAGTTTTCTTCTATCTACTTACCAAAAGTATCTTTTTCAAAAGGAACTATAGATAAATCATCCGCAATATTTGTATCGTCAATTATATCAGCTGTATTATTCGTATTTACATCGCAGCCGGCGTTGAGATAAGCCATATTTATGAAGCCATAAACAAATCAACACCGTAGTTGTAAACACTGCAATATTCATGACTTACGATTGTCAATTTAAGATTTAAAAAAACTATCTTTCTTTTCATTAATTTAATGAATTATGCAGTTAAATAGTTGTCGATTTTCTCCAAATGTATAAGCGATAAACGCTCTAGTAGATTAGTAATGCAATATGCAAGCAATGTATCAATGTAATGTAAGTAATAATTAGTAAGTATAGTATTAGTATGTACCACAGACTAATAAGATAAGATGATATGCATGTACCATGTAATATGTAGAGTACAGGTAACATAGAATTGGGTTATTTCATATGATAGAAAGAACAGATCAGAAATAAAATCATAGATTAACCTTTAAGTAATTACATGAGTGTCTCACAGACACTGAACGAACCAATTTGAGTCTTATTTCATCAGTCTTAAAAATACCAATAATACATTAAATTTAACTGTGGTAGGACCACGCAACAGTATTCACTGTTGCACAAATGGGCAAGGCCGTCCGGGTTAGTACCACGACCTCACAGAAGACGGGCGTAAAATAGAAGTGTTACACTTGTTGTTACATTGTTTATGTTTATATCATTATAATAGATGTTCACGTTAGGACTGCCATGCGAAACATTACAAACTTCACTTTATTACCTATGCTATTTATGAGAATTTTGTCCAACGTATCTAGAAATTTGGCCTTCCTTTCCCACGGAATAGACAGGCCGAATAAGACTACGCCTATTATTGAAAACGATCGCCTGGCTCTCACGTCAACCCGACGATGGACTTTGATTCACCACTTTCTGAATCACTCGTCTGAGGTGTGTAGTGCAGATTGCAGGTGGATAATATCCCGGGTTTTTTGTGATCGGTCACTTGTAGGGTTGTGTCATCGGTGTTGTCTTAAAGTTGACAAAAAACAGCCGATGACTTCACAGCGCGAAACGGAAGACCCAGGTTCGACTCCCACTGCACTCATATAATTTTTTTATCTACAATTTGCAGTTTTAAGTTTCATAATGAGTGTAGAGACTAGACCTAAAAGTAAAAAAAAAATTTAAATTTAATCCTTAAATTTATAAACATAATTATTTTTATTTAAGTTTTGTTTTTGCGGGAAGTTATTTTTATTTAATTTTGTTGGGAATTCCCCGTACGCTGTATCTTTTCTACAACTTGCAACACTTTTATTTCTAATTTCACAATAATGTCGATTTTCATACACTGGTTTCTAATGTAGATAAATAAATTGATATAATTCCATCATTAAATCACCTTCAGTGTGTACGGAGATAATACAATATAAAAGTTAAGCTTTAATCTTCAATTACAAATTGAATTTTCAATAACAATCAATTTAATTGTAAGTATATTTTTAGTTACGTGTTCAAAAAGGTACAAATATGCCATTTTCTTTCCTACCTTTCCATAAAAAGAATAAGCAATCCACTAAAATGTTGTAATTTTGTATTTGTTTTTTTATCAATATGAATTCTAAACCTCTTGTATTGCAACTGCACTGTTAAGTTACATTATTTTTTTTTAATTAGGTTTCATCAAAAAGTACTTCCTTAAAGTAGTTCCATTTTACGACGCTCAATTAATCAGATTTTAAAGTTTATATTCTAAAACCTATACATAATGTATGTATATTTTATATAATTTTTTTGGAACAATATTTCGTAAATTGCTTTTAATATTTACAGTTGCTTAAAATTTTTAAAACTCAAATACATATTTATGAGTACTGACTCAAAAGAAAAAGAGGTATTACACTAAGTCCAATATGCTTTTATTTTAGTTTTAGATATGTTATTTTAATTTGTTGCAGGAACTGATCTAAAAATGGCAAAAGGTATGTTGTTTTAATAAGTTATCTACCCAAATATCGCTTACCATGATTAATGTTACTAAAAAATCAATGTAAATAAATGATATTTATTGTGAATTTTCAGCCAATAGTTTTGGAGTTATATAAAGATAAATGTGACAGTGTGATCAATTTGTCAAACACTAATAAAATCTCAACTTTAATAAGTGTAAGAAATTCTCTTTCACATAGCTAATTGCTAGCTGTGCTTCATTTTTTAAAAAGATAGCCAGCATTGACTTGGTTCTTTTTGTAATATTCACTAGTGAATTTTAGGATCAGTGATTGGCTCTTATTTAAGTCAGATAAATACGAATGTAATTTAAAGGAATTCAGTATTTACTTAGAAAATCACTGCATAGTATAAAACAAAGTCATCCCGCTGTCTGCCTGTCCCTATGTATACTTAGATCAGATTCAAGAGGAAGGTTTACATGTATAATAAATTGCACCTGCGCAAACAGGGGGCGGGTCTCTAGTTAATTACTAAAATATATGATTTTATTCATTATCATTGAGCTAATTTCAATTAATTGATTCAATTATTATTGTATATTGACAACTGTCTTTTATATTTAGTTTTTATTAATTTATTTTCTACAACAGAAAATAAATTTTCCAAATTACAAACCCCCATGTTGCTCCATTCTAAATATTAAATTAGGACAAAATTAAAAATCTATTGTCATTGTACAGGCAAAATTACTTAAATGCCAAACATTTATTTTCCTGTGACAGTATTATGAATACTCTTTTGTTTTTCTCTATTTAGTTAGCAACTATTATACTTTTAAATATTGCACCAAGAGAGCAAAAGTGTATTGTGCAATATGATAAGTGTATGTTTTATTACATGCATAAGAAAATGCTATGAGTGATCATAGTCTTGTTTATTAACATTTACTTGAACTTTGACCACTCTGTTGTCTCTTACAATTATAAAATTTCTGGAAACATTTTCAATATCAATTTAACATCTATTTGACTGGTACATAAACTAGGTGAGAGATAATTTAATGAGAGAGATAATATTAGTTTTATAGCTAGTAAATTGTTTAAACATAGATTTTGTATATACTGTTAATCAAACTGGAAATACCAGTTAAAATGTGAAAATAATTGCTGGCTTTTACCATTTTATTTATTCATTTGCATCATATACTAAAATGCAAAGTTGCTCTAAAGGTAATGGATTTCCATGTATCTGCTGACAAAACTATATGATAGTAGATCTTGATGGCTTTCCATTTTTATATTTCATATGTGCTTAAATATTTTAAAACTGACTGTTATAATCTTTAGGACCTGATTTTAAGGTAGTGTGAGATACAAGATCATTCTAGATGCAGATGTACCTTTTTTATTATAACACACTAATGAATTCAACTGTTTTGAATTCATCAACTTTTTTCTCAATTCAGCCATATTTATTGTGCCTTAGGCTTAACTCCTGGATACGGAAGTAAATTACTTATATTTCATTTTATTTTTAAATTATGCTAAACTACTTTAGTAGAGAATAATCAAATAATGAATACAGTTTAATTATATTGTAAGAGGTTGTCAACATATCTGTAACCCTCAGGTGTAGCAGATGTCCATGGGTGGTGGTATTCACTTAACATCAGGTGACCCGTCAGCTCGTTTGACCACTTTACGCATAAAAAAAATCATATAAAAATCAAGCCTTAATTTACACACAAACTGCCTTGCATACAAATGTTCATTTTGTAGTATTTTTTAATAAGCTATCTATACAGATAAACAAAATTAGCGTATGTGTTCGTAATATTAAAATAACCACTTTTTACTAAATGCATATAGATGTAAATATGCTACATATACCAAGGTAACATTTTTAAAACTTTTGTTTGTCTGTCGTGTCTGTTTGTTCCGGCTAATCTCTAAAATCTCAGATAGCTGACGTAATAAGGAGTAACTTAGGCGACTTTTATTTTATAATTTTTATTTATTTTAAATTCTAGTAGGTACTGCTAGTTATCCATAAAGATATATTACAATAATTGTTAATCAGTTGATTTCAAATTCTAATAACTGCGCTCTTGAATGCTTTAGGAAAGAAAAAGGGACAAAAGAAGGACGAGCCGACTACAAGTTCAGGAGGGCTAGGTTATGAATCAACATCTCAAGAACCTACTACATCTGGGGTTTCACCTCCAGAAACTTCTAAAGCGGCTGAACCGCAGCAAGTTAAGGAGTTCGTGGATGAGGAAGGGGATGGTTTGAGTCTAGATTTCGGGTCCAGGAAAAAGAAACCACGCAAAAAGAAAGGTCCCGCCGCGCCCGTTGAGGCTGCGTCATCACAACCACCACCTCCACAGGCACAGTCACAACCGCAACGACAAGCAGAACCCCTTTCACCTGACTCTCTAGATCTCAGCAAGATGTCTGTAGGATCCGGTAGGGGCCAGCGCGATCGCACTTGGAATCAGCCACCTGCGCCAGGCCAGTTAGCTGGCTACGGGAGGGGACGGCAGACTCAAGGGGTACCGCAGCAGGGTCCTGTGAGCCAGCCGCCAGTGTCGGCCCTGCCGGGCTTGGGACAGCAAGGCCATGCGAGCCAGTTCGCTGGCTACGGGAGAGAAAGGCAGACTCAGGACATACGGGCGGGCAGCTCAACGTGGGCCAGGGATGGCGCGTCCCACGAGACTGTGCCGCAGCAGGGACCTGTGAGCCAACCGCCAGTTTTCATCCCGCCGGGCTTGGGACAGCCGGACCACGCGAGCCAGTTCGCTGGCTACGGGATGGGACGGCAGACTCAGGACGTACGGGCGGGCGGCTCAACGTGGGCCAGGGATGGCGCGTCCCGCGATACTGTGCCGCAGCAGGGACCTGTGAGCCAACCGCCAGTTTTCACACCGCCGGGCTTGGGACAGCCGGACCACGCGAGCCAGTTCGCTGGCTACAGGATGGGACGGCAGACTCAGGACGTACGGGCGGGCGGCTCAACGTGGGCCAGGGATGGCGCGTCCCGCGAGACTGTGCCGCAGCAGGGACCTGTGAGCCAACCGCCAGTTTCGGCCCCGGCGAGCTTTGGACAGCCGGGCCACGCGAGCCAGTTAACTGGCTACGGGAGGGGAAGGCAGACTCAGGAAGTACGGGCGGGCGGGTACGGACGCGGCCGTGGATCCTCTGCACAGCCCCCCCCAGCGGAGCCGCGTAGGCCCCCGGATAGCCAGGCCCCAAAAGCGCTTTCAGCCATCCAGTACAGAATACCGGAGGCCATCCGTAGAATATCCGTTCCCGCTAGAACAATCCAAGTTTTGACGAACTATTTGCCGATGAGCATAAAATTCATGAAAATCGTAAGTGCACTTTTGAATATTCGCTATTTTGAGACCGTCTTGTAAAGATTCGGTGTGATTTGAGCAGTGTTCGATCATTTTATAATTGAAGTAATATTTCATTGCCCTCAGCTTTTTAATTGTGGATTCTAGATGCTAGAGTCCACATAATACTGCAGTGCGATAAGTTATCGCAGAGCTTATTAGATTCCAAGTGGTGATCTCGTCGACTTAAATTGGGGCGTTTAAGTGAAGCAGTAATTCCTTGGCAATAGATTTGGCTAAGGAAAGCTCATTTCTGTCCAAACCGTGAACGCTTAACCTTATAAGCAAGATGGCAGAACTTTTCCATTCTGTACCACATTGTGATCACTAAGGCATCAATTCACTTCGACCTACAATTGCTGGGTCGTCCGTTAGAACAAAAACTCCACCCGTATTGATCGAATAAAAAAACAATTAAAATGTTAAAAATAAATCATTTCTTTTATGGATATAGAATAGTTAATAATGGAATTCTTTCGCCTGTTTCTTCTCCGTTAGAGGAACCTCATTAAGAAAGGGAAGTAGATTTAAAAGATGGCAATCAATACATGAAATTTATGTTTCTTATTTAGATGAATAAATTATTAGATTTGATTTGAATAAATATTATAGCTTTAGAAAAATGTGGAACCGGGCATGGTTCCACTCACATTTTTCTCCACTCAGAACCAGGCATTTATTTTATATATTTCCGTTAGTAAAAAAGATTTTTTTTTAATATTATGATTATTAAGTGACATGATAAATACTACACTACACAGTCATTTCTATACACAACCAATAAAACTTTTGTTTTCTTTTATTTTAGCATCGTTACGACGTTTCTATCAAACCGGACAGACCGAAGAAGATGATACCGCAGGCTTTCAACTTGGCCAAGGCTCAGAAATTCGCAAATTACACAATAGCTTTCGACCAAATGAAGAACTGTTATTGTATCCAACAGTTGCCAGGTGTAAACCAAAGCGATCGGTACGCCGTAGACGTAAGTCATGATGTAGTCAATCTATGTTTGATGTTAACTTCATAACTTAGGGTCGATGGTTTTAACTCTGTATGACAATATTAATTCGTCTGAGGGGCTAAAGAAACGAGCATATGACGGTTTAGTTTGTCAATTGAATAAAAAGCAACCCTCGAAGACGATTTTGTTATCTCGCTGTCCATCTGTTGAGTGCATTCTTGCTTATTATCGTCACCAAGCAGTATAAAAAAAATTTGATTATTTATTGGCATTGGGACTTCACCAAAAACAAAGAATTTGGCGAGAAGCATGGAAGCAAGCAAAACCATTTTTTGATAATCAAAAATATCTTTTATATACTATACCTTTATATACGACACGACTTTCCAGGTGGAGATAACAGATAACAACGGAAAAATTTTAAAGTTTGAGGTGTCGTTCAAATACACCGGTGCTGTTGACTTATCTAGGATACAACAGTGAGTATTATAACATTTACATTTAATTTGTAAACTTGTGGCAAGTGGACTGTCCAGGCACTCACAAACAATCTATGTACATTGTATATTGTGTATAAACACAATATATGTACTTGATCTGTGACAGCTCAGTGTCTTTGCCTTTAACTCAATATAACTCGAAATAATAATAAATAATTTTTGTGTACATGAAAAATGTGATATTTTATTTTTCTCAAAACTGTTGGTAACCCTAGTTGTAAATAGCCTCAGTGGCTTTGGTCAATCGACTTTCATCAGGGGTAGGCCACAACATTAGGAGAACCAGTGCCGGCGTAAAGCTCCAGCCACACACAGCGAACATTTGCTGTGTAAAAAGTAAACTAAAGCAGGGGTGAGCAACCTTTTTAATCAATGGGCCAATTTTTTTGGCGGGCCGCACATAATAATTTACGAAACTTAACATGTAATAAATATTAGAATAATAAAATATAAAATTAAAAAAAAGTTAATATTTCATATAAAAATTTTAATGCAAGGTAAAAACAAACAAGAAAAGAACAAAAAAACGAACAGTAATATTTCGGTTCAGTATGTACTACCATTTTATTATAATTAATTTTATAACTATATATTGATGGGAGAAATTCGATAAAATAAATTCAAAAAATACATGCGCGCCGCATGGCGGGCCGCATAAACATGTTTAACGGGCCGTAAGCGTTGCTCATCCTTGAACTAAAGTAATCAGCCCATAGGTCCCACTACTGTGCAAAGGCCTCGTCTGTACAGAGGTAATTAGGTTATAGTTTCCCACGCGACCCTACCGTGGATTGGCGGACTTCACATTTTTTTCTCTTAGACTTTTTTTTGGAATTATTTCGAATATATACAGGTTTCCTCACGATGTTTAAATTCACCTGAGCAAGTAAGTGATAAGTCAGCACTTATTATAATATATAGAATTGAAAGCGCGCGCCCGGACACTGAGCCATCATAGACTGCTGTGTGAGAGGCTATTTGCTGCGAATAGATCAGGTCAAGGTGCTTTAAGTTTTTTGCGTTTCATGTGGTGATGCCAAACGTCGTATTGGTTGGCGAAACTGGTGTTTTCGCCCACGGGCGATGGAATCACTTGCCGTCAGTTTAGTCATTAATAGGCCCAAGAGTATTATAACTGTGGTAAGACCACGCACCAGCTGTTGCACGAATGGGCAGGCTCATCCGGGGATGTACCACGGTCTCATTGGAGACCGGCGTGAAGTGGAAGTATTACACTTTCGCGTTTCTTTTGTGAGTGAGCTAACCCGGGCCCACTTTTTAATGGTTGGCATCTGAAAATCTTCAGGTTCTGCAGATCTCCATGGACGGCGGTGATCACTCAACATCGGGTGAACCGCCCGTCTCCATAGCTTTTCAAATAAAAATAAATTCAGAAGTAATCATAAGCGTCACTCCACTTAGTTTACATTTATGTTTTATTGTCGCGTTAAGATTAAATCATTGTTCTGTCTGTTTCCCTCGCACCCGTAATACGAACCTCACCAAACTTTTTTTAATATTCATGCTGACGTCATTAAATTAGATTTTCTCTTTCAGATTCATGGCAACGGGTGGTAGCTCATTGGCCCCTCCAACAGATGCGATACAATGTATTGACGTAATATTGAGGCAGGGTACCTTAGAGTCTTACGTGAAGGTATATTATAATGTGCTTCTATACATTATACACCTTTTCTATATATATATAGAAAAGGCTAATTTTCGACTTAGATGTAATAACATTATTATTTCTTATATTTACTCGGACCTAACTAAAGATAGGTTATTTTAGTAATGACTTATTATTACATTTTTCAATTTTCAATACTCATCACCTATGTTTATTAATCCAATATTGAGTAAGATTGATTAAAATAGGACTCAGATGAAAACAGTGTTTTTAAGATAAAGTTTGCCTTAATTACATCGAAATATTATGTATCTTATACTCGAAATATGTAACTATGACGAGTTGAGAGATAGTTACGTGACCATACTAGACACATTGACCATTTCAGGCGGGAAGGCAATTCTTCAAGCGTCCAGCGCAAACGATCGATTTGGGCGATGGCTTGGAGATGTGGACGGGGCTGTTCCAGTCGGCCATATTTACCTCCATGTCATTCATCAACATCGACGGTAAATGATGGCCGCGAATCCGGAATATGCGATCCCGCAGCGGCGAAAAACTATTCGGTCCAGTTTTAATGATTCATCTCAAATGCAGAGATTAGCACAATTTTTTCTTGATAACAATTTTTCTTCCTTCAATATACTTGGAGACTACTATGAGAATTTAATGGCGGCGAACGCTAATTGAAATCTCTGAGTGTGGTGGCCGCTATTGTATCTTTTTTTCACTTTGAGTCGAAATTAATTTATTCCCTATAATGTTAATTTTGTCCGCCAATCCGCAGTGGGGCCGCGTGGTGGACTATGCCCTGATACCCTCTGTATAGAGGAGGCCTTTGCCCAGCAGTGGGACATGTATAGGTTGTTACTTTAATGTTAATTTTTATTCCCATACCAGAGTAGCGAAACTCAAACTTTACAATACACATGCAAATATGTTCTTACATATTTCTCCTAAAAGATTTTTTCTATTTATTTTAACATACAATTTGGCATGAATGGCAAAAAAATTTTTGCCAAAAATAAAAAATAATGAATGTGATTTACCGGCCATGTGTCGAATGAAGTCCATGAATTTGCCTTTTTTCGAAATCTTTCCTTATAAAAATTTTATTCATTCATGCCCCGTGTATTGGGTCAGGCTTGTCACCTAACACATTTAGAACTAAAAGAATTGAACATGGAAACGACGCTTGCGCTATAGGTACTAGATAACGGATAAACATACTTAAATATTTTTTACTTTTGTAACTAAACATAATATATTATATTATTTATATTAACACACACATTGAAAAAATACTTTGTTCATCACTGTATATTTTTTCCAGTAGTGGTATCCACTAGGAAAATCGGGTTAGTCATAATTATTATTCCTTCTTCAAGGCTTCATTAACTCCCTGGACTCGTGGCTTGATGAGTTGTATGGAAGTGGCTTGTTCGAGTTTTATTTAAGTAATGATGGAACCACCAAAGTGTTTCCTCTGTTACAGTTGCCCACAAAGGGTTCCCGAAGAAGCAGAGCATGATCGACGCGCTGGTCAATGACTTCCGTTTGGACCCCCATCGCTCGTTCGAACAGCAGCGCCAGCAAATGTGGGCGATTGAGAAGTTCAACGAGTTCATAAAAGGATTAAGGGTGGGTGGCCAACAAGTTTATTTTTTTATTGGCCAAAAGGTTCGCCTGATGTTACACGATTACCGTCGACCATGGACACCTACAACACCTGAGCAGTTGCAGACGTGTGAACCTTTAAAGAATGTGGGCCCAGTCACTTCACTATCTAGATGAAACGCGGAAGTATTATACATCCACTTCACAACGGTCTTCTCAACGATGTCGTAGCACTTCCTCAAATGAGCCATTCTTACAACAGCAGAAGCCAATATATGGCACTACCACGATGATAAAAATAATAAAATCAACAAAAATAATAAATTATGTAGAAACATTTGGACGCCTCCAGCGAAGTCTCGCCTTGTATTCTCCCCTCTTATGAAGAAATTGTATACTAGCTATGTATACTAACAAATTAATTTTATATAGCATTTGAATGACACGTCAATTCTTAATCCAATTGTGTTCAGAATGAAGTCTAGAAAGGATAATGCACTACACAAACCATTTACGGCTGCACTCACAGACGTCGATTAGCGCATAGCCAATATTAAATTTGTCCTGTGGAGTTTCATAAGTTATTTAGTTTTATAATTGTGGTAGGGCCAAGCAACAACCTTTGCTGTTGCACGAATAGGCAGGTCCGTCCGGGTAAGTACTAAGACCTCACACCGGAAGACCGGCGTGAAGTAGAAATGTTACACTTCTGCGTTTCGTTTGGTGAGTTAGGTCGCTGGGGCTCACTTTATTAAAGGGTGGCAACGCATCTGCAACCCTACGGGTGTTGCAATTGTGAATGGGCGGCGGTAATCACATTTCATCAGTTGAACCGTCAGCTCATTTGACACCTCACATAAAAAAATAGTCTTTAAACTGAACTTCTTTTTAACCGACTTCAAAAAGAAAGGGGTTATCAATTCGGATGTTATATTTTTTTTTTAAGTATGTTCGGGCAAAACTTCGTCATATATAGACGGATTTGCATTGTTTTTTTTTTTGTTCGAAAGGGTTTCATTCCGAAATGGTCCCACACAAATTTCATATAGATCCGATGACGATTTTCGGAGATAGCAACGGAACTCTTCGAAATATGACAGTAAATCTATTGATTGCTGGTATCGCATAAATAAGCATTGCTTTGCATGTTACGTGGTAATAGTTGCGTACATCATTTTATTCGAAGTCGGTTCTTATTTTGTTAAAAAAAAACTTTTTTTTTATTTTTGTTATTTACCCATCGACGCGTGCTCTTGTCAGGTTTTAGCTGTAATCGGCGCGGACACGTCGACGAAGGGCCACAAGCGCGAATTCATTTGCAACGGCGTAGTGGACCCCCCCCACAAGCTGAAGTTCCCCATGACGGGTCCGGACGGCCGCCAGACCACCATGACCGTTGCCGATTACTTCAAGAAGGAGAAGAATTACACGTTAGTGAATCGTGTCAATCAGCTCTCATTTTCACCTTTCGCTACGTAAACGTGTTTCTGTTTGATGGAATAATTATATTTGTGAGTTGAAGGAAAAACTCTGCATGGGAAGCCTGTTTCGTGTACTATCAAATGCAAAAGTTGCTATCTAAAAAAAAAAAAACGATGTTCGCGAAAATGTATCGACGTTATTGCGTTGCTAGCCAACGTGTATGAACGCGAATACCGCTGTGGGACCGAGGCGGATAGCGATTTGGCCTGCGGCGTGAACGAGAGGGAAATACACGCTAGGTGGCTTGTCTCATGCCTAACAACATGAATGTACTGCGCAATGATCCAAATCACGTTTTTCCTTGCTACCACCGATCGTTGGTGTACAGTCGCGTCGCGTATATTATTGATATTAGGTTTCGAGGACATAGACATTTTAAATATTAGTAGTTTTTTTTATCGCCAAGCCAACTGTACACCGCAAAAACAACGTTTTATTAATTTAACATGTCTTTGAATAGAGCTGCAATAAAGGATAATACTTAAGTTAAGATAAAAATGATTAATACCATTGAATCATTTTTATTGTTAAATATTTATATAAAAAGCCTTTATTTAGTTCACAGTACAGAACATTACTTTAGTTTTAACATATTTATGAGTTTTGTTTAGTGCTGAATATAGCAGAATTTATTTTTCACTATCTATACTCCGAGTTCAGTTTGCTGTTTATTAAATATTAATATAGTAATTGTTTTACTTGTTTAACAGACTCAAATTCCCTAACCTCAACTGCATGTGGGTGGGACCGAGGAATAAAAACATCTATTTCCCAATGGAGCTACTGGAAGTTGTTTATGGACAGGTAAAAATTCAGAAGTGTTTCTTTCTTACAGTTTTTTTTTTACATTTATTGGCATATCGAGTTATAACAAAATGTAACAAAAGTTTACTTTGGCCCCACACTGGGTAGCCAATTTTGATAATTACAAGAAAAATCATTTAGATTTGTTGAACATCATGGAAAACTGTGTCTAAGTGTTATAACAGGCTTTATAGGAAGAAAAAAATCGAAATCTAATATTGCATTATGATTTTAAATGGCCCAGAGTGAAAGGATTAAACACTTATCGAGTCAATTTTCGAATTACCCCCCCTTAACAATCAAATTGCCCCTCCCTTGGGGCGTGGGCCCCCGTTGCGGAACACTGGCCGAGATAATCAATGTTTTACACTTAGACACAGTTCCCCAGATTAAAACATAAAACAAATAAAATTGAAACAAAATAAAAAATAAAAAAATAAAATTAAAACATAAAACAAATAAAACAAATTAAAATAAAATTAAAACATAAAGATTGAAACAAAACAAATATCTGCTATTAATAAAATTACAGTATGTATGTATTCAATAGATACACACATACATGTCATATAATATATTTATACACTATAATTGTGAATTATAAGTTATTGCAGTTAATTTTAAATCTCCATTCTGAGTTTAGCTTTAAACACACTACACAAAAAGGACAAGACTAGAGATATAACACATGCAGAGTGTAATATTTTTAGTTAATAATGAATAATATTTACAATGGTATATCATATTTACAATATGTGTAATCATAAAATATTTTCAGGCTCTAAGGAAACAGCTCAATGAAACACAACTTTCTAAGATGGTACGCGAAGCGGCCACTCCGCCAAACATTCGGAAAAAGAAGATCGAAGACGTCATCAAAGACGTAAGCAGCATGTTTTCTTCTCAGAAACAATTTTAAATGAAGTAAAAAAAGTCAGTCAAAATTATAAAGTGTGTTTATCAAGTTGATATACACACTTTAAAGATTAAAAAAAAAAAAGAATTCACTAAAAAGAACACTAAAATCTTTAATTTGTGATGTCCATTTTAAATATAACCACACAAACACACTACCCGATTGGCAGAGTGTGTTGGTGTGGCAGAGAGAGTGGATTCGATCCTCAATACTGGAAAAATATTGTGTGATGAACATAGTGTTTTTCTTGTGTCTAGGTATATCTAGTATGTGCATATATTTTACAAAGAAAAGTATTTTTATCAGTTTTTTTGGGTGAAAAGTTGCCAAGCGAGCAGACGGTTCACCTGATGTAAGTGAATATCTGCTACACCCGAGGGTTTGCAGATGCGTTGACAACATTTTTGGAAATTGGGCTCCGGGTACCTCACTCACCAGACGAAACGCGAAAGTATTATACTTCCACTTTACGCCGGTCTTCTGTGAGGTCGTGGTACCTACCCGGACGAGCTTGCCCATTCGAGGCTGCTGCGTGGTCCTACCACCGTAAGTATAGCACAAGCTTTGATTAGTTTGGGTCTAGATAATTTTGTGTTAAAATATATATTAATTTATTTTTTATCCATTTAAAGTTATATTAGTAAATCTCTTATTGGAATATTTGTTCAGGATTTTTTTCTCTATTTCAGATGAACTACTCCAGGAATCCGTTCTTCAAGCATTTCGGCCTCGAAATATCCGAGAAGTTCTTGCAAGTGGAGGCGAAAGTGCTACAGCCGCCGAAGATTTTGGTTGGCGGTGGGAGGTCCATTGAACCGAGGTATCGTATATTTCTTACTGTACAGCTTTTTTTAGGAGTTTTGTATGAAGTTCTTTTTGGAAATATGGAATGGCAAAGAACTAGCCTTTTTTTTTTTTTTTTTTTTAATAGAATCCCCCTAACAAAAAACTTTTCCACCAAAAGGAGTAAAGTGAGGGATATTCTTTTCGAATATATAAGGCACACGTTTTTGTGTGCATTACTTTCTGATGAATAGCGCGAATGTCTTTACGATAATGTAAACGTTTGTCCCTAAGCTTTATTTGACAAGGTTCAAAAGTACTCAAAACTGCTCTCAAGTATTGAAAACTTTAAGGGTGGGCAGTCTATCTAATAAATCCGTACGTTAGGGATGCTGAAAAAATATCGATATATCGATATTTATTAAAAAATATATCGATATTTTTAGCTGATATATTTTGATCCGATTTAGCGATATAAAAATTATACGATACGATATATCAAAAATGATTATTTAATTCAGCTTAATATCAGATACAAAGCCATGAAAGATATAAATGAACGGAAAAAATAACTGTTATTGCTGTGTATACTATTATTGTTGCGGATGTAATGTTGGATTTCGAATTATAATTATGGTATTTATACTAAAATTTCATGCTTCGTACTTCATACTATCCATATCTAAGGTACAACATGGTATAGAGGTGTTACAAATCATTAATATTGAACTACATATTAAGTTAATTTAAAAATAGCATGCAAAATATTAATGCGATAATGTTACTTAAGTTACTTTACTTCTAAATTTAAATAAAGTTAACAAAATTTAATTAAAATTAAATTCTCAATAATTAAATGTCACGATTATAATATAATATCAAATTTGCAAAACAAAATTATTTGAAGTCATTAAACTTATTATCATTTAACCACATAAATATCTTCTTTTTTTTTAAATGAAAAAAAAAAGCGGCAAACGGGCAGAAGGCTCCCCTGATTGTAAGTGATCACCGCCGCCCATGGACACCTGCAACACCAGAGGGCTTACAAATGCGTTGCCGGCCTTTGTAAAATATTGTTTATTGTAATAATACATCGCTTAGATGCCAATGCCAATTTGACTACGTTTTCAGGAGGGGAGTCTGGCAGTCTAATACCGTTTTGCAACCCGAGGCCCTCAACAGTTGGGGATTCATTGCCATAGAATCCGACCCAAGACAGTGCAACTTCAACGGCATGATAGAAATGGTGAGGATGATTTTTTCTTTTATTTAGTACTAGCTATTAACCGAGGCTTTGTCCGCGCAGTTTGAATATGATTTACAGGAGTAACCAATAAAAGCACAGTTACAATTTTTTACTGAATTTCAAAGGAATAAATTTTCTTAAATTACTCATATCACATTAAAAATTGAATGTTATGAATAAGTCCCAAGACATAAAGATATCAATAACTAGTTTATTAAGTCCCAAGACATAAAGATATCAATAACTAGTTAATATATATAACACTTTAAGACTGAAATAAGCTTTATTTCTGCGCTGGGAGCAGTGCGAATCGCCATATTGTAAATAGTGCTTTATGGTTGAATTCAATTTCGAACGACGACCTGTTATTGTCCTCCCCTAAAACGTTGTTCATTGCATCCGTGCAAGCGTGACGGCAATATAATATTTGCGCGGGAGCAAGAGAGACGGGCAATATAAAGTCAACGTACGAAATTCTTCCTGCTCGTTGATCAGATCATAGCAACTCTCTACTCTCAGGGCGAAAAGACTGTTTGTTATTTGATTCGAGCGAATATCGTCGCTCCTGCTTAGGTGTAACGTTCAAATTCGCTTGCAGATAATGCGCGTCGGCAACCAAATGGGCATGAGGGTCTCCCCGCCCAGCTGCACCCATTTCAACACGCGCATAAACGAACTAATGAACGTCCTGTTCACGGCGCTGGAGCGAGACATAAAGTTCCTCTTCATCATCGTCTCCAGAAGGGGCCGAGACTACTATCACAGGGTATATTGGGAACTTTTGTATGGGAAATGAACGTTTGAATGAAAGAGTGAGCTGGTCCGGGGTCAAACAACAGCCTTTCAGATTAAAGAAAAGTTATATATGCCTATATATATGTCGTGGTGTTGGGCAAAGGCCTCCTCTGTGCAGTGGGTATTAGGAGCTTGTAACATATATATTTTTTAATATGAAATTATGACGAAATATATATATTTTTTAAATATGTAGCTTTCCCCACTTTGTTTCCCTTCTCTGAAAACACGCGTTTAACCGGTACTTAAATAATTTCGTGTAAATATACGCCTTCAGGCCATACGTAATATTATGTTGTGAAGAATTATGGTTCTAATATGTGTCTTAAGCTGTAAAATGTAAAAATAAATAAATAAATGTATACAGCGTGTCGTTACCATCGCGACAATAAATGAAAACACGTCTAACGCTACTTGCCAATAATCATAAAAAATATTAACGTTAAACAAAATCCATAATTAAAAAAAATATTTTTCAAACAAACCAATTAAGTAAAAAAGAAACAAAATTTGTAACAGCCTATACAACTCGCGCCACAGCGTCGTATTACAAGCCTCTCCTTCTAACAGTATGTTTTGTCTCTTTTAAATTCATTCAAACCATTCATATGCTTTGTGACCTTTACAAATGAACTTTACGTTACGCTTTTATAGTTAAGGGTGTTTTAAAAATCTTTGTTTTGAAAAATTTAATAACTCTGTAAATATTGATGTTTAAAGAATTTAAATGTTTAATACAATTTTAAAAAGTTATCCCCTATATGTGTGTTCATTTATTGTCGCGATGGTAACGACACGCTGTATAATAAGATCCAGTAAATTATAAGAATGGCGGTAATGGAGTGGTAGTAAGTTTAATTATTACCTGAAGTTTAATGCCCGGTTTCTGAAACACTGAACATCGTAGAAATTTTCTATGATGATCGGTGTTTCACAAACCGGGCGTTAGTAGTATATCTAAATCTAGTTTATGTATTTGTTATCTTTCAAAGTCTGACCACAGTGGACATCCATCTGTTTACATTTATTTTGTCTTGTTCTAAAAACTTATGACGCTTTCTTTGTGATATAGAATTTACGCAACAGTATAGCTTACGTAACGATCGTTGTGTCTTCTATTTTATAAGTACTTTCTTTACGTTGAGATGCTACTACCTCTCTCTATAAGTGCTTTTGCGTACTTGCTCGGGTACAAAAATAATTAAATGATAGTAAATAAAGTAGCATACAATAAGTCCAGCAATGTTTATTGTTTAAAAATATAATATTTATAGCAATGTTGACGATCTATTTACAGGTGAAACGCTTCGCCGAGCTCGAAGTTGGTATATTGACGCAGTGCGTTAAGGAAGAGACAGCAGCGCGCCGTATGAACGACCAAACCGTTCGCAATATCCTTTTAAAGGTATAATCCTTTGTAAAATTTGTTCAATAATAATATGTGGTCTTTACGTTAGTAGGGCCACGCAACACTGTTGCACGAGTGGGCAGGTCCGTCTGGGTGGGTACCACGACCTCACAGAAGACCGGCGTAAAGCAGAAGTGTTACACTTCTGCGTTTCGTCTGGTGGGTGAGGTAGCCGGGGCCCACTTTATTTAAAGGTGTAAAAAAAAAAAGTTTTGATGATGTTTCATTTTTGTATGGGGATCTGGACATAACTTGTGCTCTATAGGAAACTTTGGAAATGACCCTTATTTTATTTCCAAAATTTCCTGTAGAGTTCATCAGTTTATTATTTAGATTATTTTGAATGCTTAGAATTAACATTTGAATGTTTTTTTTTTTCAAAAAGAGAAAAATCTGATTTTAGTTTGTAATGAACTACTATTACCGCTAAAATATCTAAAATAAAACTTAAATGTTATAGGTGAATTCGAAATTGATGGGTATAAACCAAGCACTGGACGGGCGCTCGATGCCGAGTTGCCTCAAAGGCCCAGTTATGGTTGTGGGGGCGGACGTTACGCATCCATCACCAGATCAGGTGAAATAAATCTATGTATATATACATATTTTGTTTATTTATGCGTATTTTACGATTATATGGACTATACGTGTTATATCAGTATTATACCACATTTTATCAAGCAAGAACAAAAACGAAATAAATGTGATCGATCCTTAAACAACTTTCATCAAAATAAAATCAAACACATACTATACATATATAAACATGATACTTACTATATTTAAAATAAATTGAAATAGACCTTGAAATTTAATGAAAAATTAAAATGCCTATTTGTAATTTTTTATAATTGTATACATATAATTGTCTTATAATTTGTAAGTATTTCCTTAAGCATTTCAAGGAAATTGTGTCCCGTACATTATAAATATTTATTGCTATTTTTATCTTAACGACGAGTTCACTGTATGATTTGTTATTAAATGCATAGTTATTTATAATAATTTCATTATTTATTCTAGACAAGCATTCCAAGTATTGCCGCCGTGACAGCGTCGATCGATCAAAAGTGTTTCCTTTACAACATCGAACTCTGCGTCCAGACGCCGAAGGTATGCAAAAACTTCTAATACTGATATATTAATAGTCGGAATACTGTTAAAAGTGATTTCTTAATTGTTGCAGAAAGAGATAATCGTGGAATTTGAGGACATGATGGTGGAGCATTTGCAAGTATATAGAAAGCATCAGCACACGTTACCCAAGAAGATATACGTATTCAGAGATGGTGTCTCCGAAGGGCAGTTTGAAGAGGTGTGTTTGTGTAATGGCTCGGATAATCTTGTGCTTTGCCACGGCTCCAATAGCATGATGCAAACCATGTAATATCTTCTAATTTGGTTATGAAAATTTCATCTGATATGTATTATTTATATAATATATAATATTATATGGTTATTATATATTATCCGCCTACACAAAGGCCTCCTCTGTACAGAGGGTATCAGGGCATAGTCCTCCACGCGGGCCCACTGCGGATTGGCGGACTTCACATATCTTCGAAATATTTTTTTTTGTTATTTCGAAAATATGTAGGTTTCCTCACGACGTTTTCCTTCACCGCAGAGCACGTGATAATTCGGCACTTAAAATTAACGATTTCGATGGTGCCGGCACCGGGGATCGAACTCAGGTTGCTCGAGTATATTGAATTATTTAAAGGCGAAGCGAATTAAAGGCGACCGCCCGGACACTGAGCTGTTACGGCTCTATAGTATGAAGTAATCATATTGTATAACCTTACCAATAACACGAGTTTACCGAAAAAAATCACAGTCGCTCAGGTACTAAGTAATAAAATACATACCCGTATATATAAAACATTAACCTAGCATCTAGGCTAGGCTATATCAGTTCACATTTCATTTATATTTGTTTTGCCATTGCCGCTTGAAGAGAGAAGGAGTATGCAAACAGACTTTCTTATTTAATTTTTAACAAACCTTTATACCTACTGGTGCTTTCTACTATTTAATATGATAAAATCCATCCATCCATCCAATCAAAAAATAGTAGTGTAACAGTAAAAAAATAGAATAGTGTAACAGTATGGAGTGTGTTCGTAATAATTTACCAACGGTTCACCTAAAAATAATGTGTTATTGTTATTTATAATGCGTCATTGTTAATAAATAGTGTTATATATGTACGCGCGTGAGAAGTTATACTTCTTTGGCATCATTAAAAATAGTTTCAATTGCATGAAAATAATTACAATAAAATAATGAAAAGACTGGAAAAGGATGTATAAATAATAAAAATTATAAAATTATAAAAGCAACATCTACATTCTTTATTGAGAACTATAACAGGCAAATGAGATTGAGAATATGCTGCCATGTATAATAAGCGGCTTAGTGGCCAGCTTCAGAGGAGTGACTTTAGTGATGCGCGCTCCTAAACAAGGATAACTTCAAAAAGATTTCTTTTTTTCAGTACTACACTTTCGCGTTCATTTTTCTACAAATTTTAATGATGGTTTTTATCTTCTAACATTTATGTTTAAAGAAAGGTTTTTAGATGTCGCATGACGTCCACTATTAAGTATTTAAAAGCATTATATTATACGACCCCAGCTTATTAGAATATACTAAAAATATTTGTATGAAATACAATATATAATAATTTTTGTTGGTTGTAGTTTGTTTTAAATCATAACTATCAGTACTTATATGTTTTTTTTTTTAATTTTCCTCATCCAATGATGTTCAGCCGTTTTAAATATTATTTGAATTCTAGGTGATGAATAGCGAATTGACGGCCGTGTATAGAGCTTACCAAAGGATGACCGGTACTTCGGAGAAACCCGAAGTGCTTTTCTTACTAGTGCAAAAGAGACATCACACCAGGTAATTTATTGTAATATTATAATGTTTTTAAATACATTCGCAGAAAACATAACATATAAGCAATATGTTTGAATAATGTCATTAAACTTAATATTAAATTTCTAGATTCTTCTCTGGCGCCGATAATCCCCAGAACGTTGAGCCCGGTACAGTGGTCGACAAGCAGATCGTTCACGCTCGAGAACTGGACTTCTATTTGGTACGAGATTTTTTAAATTAAGGACTATAAAAAATCCCTTTGTACTTTGGATTAAGAATATCGCGATTGTACTTTTATTTCGTGAGTTTTGTATTCGACAGTACATGCATGTAACTAGGGGCCGAAGTCACTGCGAAGCTTTTTGCTTGTGCCTGATCCCCAGTGCCGGCAATAATGAAATTGTTAATTTAAAATGCTGACTTATCAAGTGCTCAGCGGTGAAGGAACACATCTTGTGGAAACCTGCATATTTTTAACTTGAAAAAAAAAAAGTGAAAACACTAAATTCCATAAGAAACGTTGGAGCCGATTACGAGATTCAGTTTATATATTATACATATATGCAAGAATTGCTCGTTAAAAGAAAGATATTGTAAAGATACGTGCGCGTTCTCCGGCAGGTGTCGCACCAGGCGATCAAGGGCACCGCGCGGCCGACGCGCTACCACGCGGTGTGCAACGACGGGGGCATCCCCCTCGACGAAGTGGAGCAGCTCACCTACTACTTGTGCCACCTGTACTCGCGCTGCATGCGCGCCGTCTCCTACCCGACGCCCACATACTACGCGCACCTCGCGTGCCTGCGCGCCAAGTCGCTCACTTAGTGAGTGCACAAGTTGCGGACACGCTCAAGCGGTTTTCCGTTGACAGCGAGATGTTTTTTTTAAGCATTTTTCTAACCTCGTTAATAACCATTTTTTATTGACCATATTAATTGTTTTACTACTATCTCCACACTCGTTTTGCGTCGTTAACGTATTGTTTGGGCATTTTTTATGGCACACTTGGTATCTCTACGGCTTCGCGATCGACACACGACTGAAAAGCTTATTTATAATAAGTCTGAACTTTTGTCGATCTGTTACAGCGCGCTGATACGACAGGCATATTTTTTTGCGACGTAATGTTTTGCATAATAAAGAATTTTGGAATTCCGTATTATTTGTTTTAATGTGAGAAGGTGACAAGCGAGCGGTGGTTCAGCTGATGTTAAGTGATAACTTGCCATGATAACCCGCCGCCCATGGACATTTCTTCTTGTATCTTGTATTGACTGATGTTTTTGCTTTCAGTCCCGAGACTATTAAAGCTTCATCTGACGCAGAACCGGTGGGCTAGCCAGAACCCACGGGTTTGGGCCCTCCGCTGTGGGTAGGGCCACGCATGTGCTCATGCGTGCGTTTAACTATGGTGTGTCATCTAAGGGCCATCGAGGCCATGGACATTTGCAACTACCGTTGCAGATGCGTTGCCACCTTGTAATAAAGTGTGCCCCGGCTACGTCACTCGTCAAACGAAACGCAGAAGTATAACACACCACGCCGGTCTTCTGTGAGGTCGTAGTACTTACCCGGATGCCAGATCGTTCAAAAGTCGAAGCTGTTGCGGGGCCCTACTACAGATAGAATTTGTCATTCCGTATTCTCTAATTATTCAATTCTAAATCTAATATTCTATTTATAAGTATAGCTTTATTTATTTGTTTGTTTGTTCTTTAATCTTGCATAACTTATTTTTCTTGTTTACAGCGGTGACACATTCAATAACCAGGAGTTGGAGATAAGACCTAAGCGGCTGCACGTCCTGAAGAAGATGTTAGATTTCAGCCGAATGTTTTTCGTCTAAGACTATATTTACACATTTTAATCGCTATATATATTAATAAATAAATTCTAAAAAATCAATTGAGTAAGGAGTAGTAAAAGCAAATAGCGATTTGTTTACTATTTAAATGTAAATCGAATTTAGTTGTTTCGAAGGGTGTGTGTTATAAAAATCTCTGTTTTTATAATTATGTTTGTCGATTTTCATAGACTTTATATAAGGAGTCTCATTTAAATATTTTTCTAAAACTTACAATTTGACACTTGTATGTTCTATAAAATTGCTTTGTTATACGTTAAGTAAGTAACAATGTAGTGAAAACTTTATAAAAAATCTTATTATGAATATAAATGACTAAAACATTACAATATTTATCAGTATCAAGATTAAAAACAATATTACTTTGCCTAAGTCTTAAGATCAGCCTTCGCCTGAAAATTATTTGCTTTACAATTTATATCAAAAATCAATTGCTGCATTGCATTAAATGACAATTATGGTATTTTTTTAAATTTTTTAATGTAATCAAGTGATCGCTTTGCAACTAACTTTTTATTTGTCCTAAATGCTTGCGCATACCTGCCCTCGCCGGGGCAGACGATAAATGTCAGAATCGCACTGACTAAAACCCCTACCATGTGCCGCCCAGGCGCATTTCGGCAGGGCAACGGGAAAGGTTGCACCTCAGCAGCCCCCTCCCGGGGAGCAACTCCCCTCATCTTCAGGTCTCGAACTCGGGCCCCATTTTCACGGCCAACGAACCTCATTGAGTTATCTGACCAGACGTCATGGGAGTCAGGAGAGCCAGTTCTAAAAAGCACCAGGCCTAGCCCCCAGCGGTTAACCTGGTCTGTGGCTCTGCCTCTCGCCACGTACGGCCGCGGAGGGTAGTGAGGACGGCGCACCGCAACACCTACACTCGTCTTCTTCCGCGACTCCTCCTCGGTAGCAGTGGTACTTGCGCTTACCACCAGAGGGTAACCCAACCCGCTTGTGGTAAGCGCAGCAAATTACCAAACCGACACTTAACGTGAACGTTAACAAGCGTCGCCCGCGCAACGGCTTCATCGACCCGGTCGAGGAAGGGTACTTAAGTACGTCGGACCCACCGTCGGGGGTCTCGCCAATTAACACTACGCATTTAGTGCATCAATAAACATCATAGTTGGTCCTCGCCTTCGAAACCAATACAACGCGTACACTAGATACATCCGCGTTCCAGGGCGGTTCTTACCGGCCCCAGCCATCAATTAAACAAGCACAGTCAACGGCCATCGGGGTCGTCACGGTCAACTCCGAACCTCGATGGTCCGTAGGCCACATGCCATAATTAACGCACGCATGAGTACATGCGCGGCTCTACCCATGAGGAGGGCCTTAAACTCGTGGGTTCTTGCTAGCCCATCGGTTCTGCGTTCGATGAAGCTTTATTAGTCTAAGGACTGAAAGGGTAACATGAAACATCAGTTATAGAAAAGAAAAAAGAAGACAGACAGAGTGGCTCCTCCATCACCCTCGACCTGTCCCCTCCACCCTCCAGCAGGCATTCAGAGTAGGCCTAATGAGCTCACTCGAAGTGGACCTAATAAGCCCACTCGGAGTGGCCCTAAAAAGCCCACTCGGAGTGGCCCTAATGAGCCCACTCAGAGTGGCCGGTCTTACACTACGTGTGGGTTCCTTTAGGCCTCGCCGTGGGTGACCAAGCCACGGCTACTAAGCCCCTCCGTCACAAGTCTGGAACCCGTTCGGAGGGGGTTTGCAACCAACACCAACCACCATGTCGCTTTTTTAAGCTTTTTATTTTATAAGATTTTTTCATTTTCGCGGGGATACAGCTATCCTTCGTCTCGATCAGTACCTACAGTAATTGTGTGTGTTTTGTACCATGCACGCTTTATAACACTTCTGCTCGAGCTGTCGCGCACCTAAATATGTGTGGTTATTATTTATTTACCGAACGTATCGTTATAGTTTATCTTTCAATTAAAATGTTTTCTAATGTAGCAACATTATACTAAGAAAATATTGTCTTGCCCAAATATTGTTATGATCCATGTTAACAGAAACTATAACTAGCCTGAAAACAAATAGAATTTCTATTCTTAAAGTGTCGTGTGATACATACATCATTGAATTTTAAAATTATTTGCATGTGACACGCCAACCAATTTCAGAGTTAACTGCCTGCGTAAGTTTGCTTTTCTGTCTTCATTAAGTTTTGCAAGGCCTTTATACATTATTGTATTGTATTTTAATTTCATATTAAAATCGTATACTTCTTGAATTTCTGCAAGTTGCGTTGTAGTCATATTAGTGAAATGGTTGATTCTTATAACTATCACACTAACTTGGCACGAGACTGACCGGTTCTGCCCTAATTCCAGATGGCCGTCCTAATCTATGTCACTGTTTCGGTATCTTCCTTGCCGTGGGATACCGTCTGGCTGGTTATTACTCTCGTCTCATTTATATGATTGTGTATTTATGTATTATTATTATTATTTACCCAGGCAGACGAGAGATCCAACGAATTATCCATTACATTAATTATAGCTCTGGAACTGGCTGTTTTCTTCTTGTTATATTCCTGTTTAATAACTGTTCATGTATCTTCCACGGTTTCCTCAATTGGTGTCATAATTATTTTCCTTGGCAAACGGTAGGAAGATAAAAGAAAATCATAATCTGCGTGAAATCTTATTTTCTTTATCATTAATATTAATCGTTGCTTTCAATGTATTATAAATAAAGTTATGTATTAATAACGGCTTCTTTTATTTCACCAAAGACTGTTCGTTGATATCTAAAACGTAAGCAATAACTTTTGCTAAATTTCCACTTTAACATTAAAAGGAGGAAACCTCGCAAGTATCCCCGCAAAGCTATCGCTCTCTTAGCTCCGCAAATTAAACTCACTGTTCTGGAAAAAACTCACTTGTGAAAACTTTATAAAAATCTTATGAATATGACTAAATCATTACAATATTTAAGTATATGTTTTGGGAAAAAACTCACCAGTGTCGCCTGTCTAATTTAATTAATGAATGTACTACAACCGTTGATATTCATTTTGACTCATTAAAAGTATTTCGGAGTAAAATAAATGAATATCTTAAAAAAAGAAGCTCTTAAATTTTTAACGCCAAGATTTAAGTAATTTTTATTTCTATAAGTCATTTGTATTGTTTGATGTTGTACGTAACCTAACATTTCTCATTTAAAACAATACCATTTACCACATAACTTAAATTTCTTCATAGATTTTACTCTTTTTGGTCTTGCCTTATAAAATTTGAATTATAATCCGCTTTTTTGTCTTTATTTCGTAATAAGTGAGCCTAACGATATTTTGTTCATACTTTTCGTTTAACTTTTATTAATTTTTTGTTTTAATTTTTAAGCATGCTGTGTTTGCCTCCTAATTAGATGTACATTAAGTTGTAACATTAATTCATGTTTCATATAATATTGTTTTTAATGTAACATCTACTGGCAGACCTAATAAATAAATAAACCTAAAATTAATTTCATTGAAAAGATACACAATGTTTCTTATATTAAACATTTACGCATGTCTTGAGGCACGCAGCCCTCTTCCCAGCATTTGGTCAAGTTGTTGTAGAGGATGGGTAGGACACACTTAAGTTTGACGATTTCCGTGTAAACTTCGTCTTTATCCGGGCTTTTACCATCTTCGAGCTGCTTTACGGCCAGGTAGAGTTCCTCTATAGTAGGAGCAGGATATCCACTGGACGTGAGTAGAGCCCCGTGTAATGCTCCACCCATCTTGTCATCCGGCGGGAAGAGGGCTGCGTGCCTCAAGACATGCGTGATGCTAACATCGTCACTCTATACAAAGGCAATGGCGACCGCGGTGATTGCAATAATTACCGAGGAATATCTCTGCTTAGCATCGTCGGCAAGGCTTTTGCTAGGGCCATTTTGGCTAAATTGCAAAGGCTTTCCGACCGCATATATCCAGAGGCACAATGCGGCTTTCGGGCACAACGGTCTACTGTCGACATGATATTCTCTCTTCGACAAGTGCAGGAAAAGTGTAGAGAGCAGAACACTCCTCTGGTCGTCGCCTTTGTAGACTTAAGCAAGGCTTTTGACACGGTGAGCAGAGAGGGGCTGCTTGGCCCCCGAAACTACTGAAGATAGTGCAGTCATTTCTCGAGGGTATGGAAGGGACAATCCATTATAATGGCGAGACATCTGCTTCTTTTAACATACGTCGAAGCGTTCGGCAGGGGTGTGACACCTACCCTCTTCGGAATATTTTTTTCTGTACTCTTGAAAGTTGCATTTGGAGACGACTAACGAGGTGTTCATCTACACACAAGATCTGACGGTAAGATGTACAACATATCGAGGCTGAAGTCCAAGCGACACTGTTGGGTTGTCGTTTTTGCTGATGATGCTGCTTTCGTTGCTCACAGCCAGACGGAGCTCCAAATCCTCGTGGACAAATTCGCTAGAGCGTGCGACATATTTTCTATGTCCATTAATGCCAAGAAAACCGTGATATTGGCGCAGGGGTGTTCTGAGCAGCCAGTGATCTTGCTAAACGGCACACCCCTTGAGGTGTTTAGTAAGTTTCGCTACCTCGGATCGCACGTATCGAGTAATCTTTCGCTCGACGTGGAAATCGATTATCGGTAAAGCAGTCAACACGTTCGGGAGGCTGCGTAGAAGGGCTTGGGACAATAAACACCTCACGATAAAAACGAAAATACTTATTTACCAACCGTGCGTCCTAAGCACTCTTTTGTACGGAGCGGAATCCTGGAGTTCTTACGCAAAACAAGAACGCCGACTGAACACTTTTCATATGCGCTGTCTTCGGTGCATAATGGGCATCACGTGGAAGGATCATGTGACAAACGAGTCTATTCTAGGCATCGCACAGCTCCGTAGCATCGCAGCCATATTAAAAAAGAGACGTATGAAGTGGCTCGGGCATGTGTATCGAATGGAGCAGTCTCGTTTACCACGCCAAATCCTACCAGGAGAGA